TATCCTTCTACTCAAATAATTGAATTTAATTTATTATTATTTTTTATAAAAAAAAGTATTTTTTATTCAGAAAAATGTACCTTTTCTCATTGCAAAGACATTTCACAAGTAATTAACGTGAATTGTTAGTGGCTTTTATTGAAATGATTTACAGAAAACCTGACAATGAATCGTTAAGTTGTTTATTGCCTACATAAAATCAAATTAAATGCATCTGTATTTAATTTGAATGATTTTTTAATTGCCTCGTGGCCCATAATTTCAGTTTATATAAACGTTATTGTCTGTTTGATTCTTCACTCATTTAGCCAACTCTCGCCATGCACAGCATTCTCGCCACAGCCCTTTGCCTGCTGCTCTGGTCGGATGGGCGGCTGCCTGTTGACGCCCAAGCGCCTGGATTGCAGGTGGTGAAGCATTGGAAGCTGCTTGGCTACAACTTTGAGTCAAATGCACGGGCCAGAAATCCGGACTTTTATAATCCAGAGAATGTGCTCATCACGGGCATTGCCGTCACAGAGGATCGCATTTTTATTGCCACGCCCAAGCTCTTTTCGGGCGTCTCCTCCACTGTGAATTGGGTGTCCAAGGCACAGATTGGCGACTCGCCCACGCTGCAGGCATATCCCGACTGGTCCTTCTCCAACACAGCGCGCTCCAATTTCAATTGCAGCGATCTGATATTGACTTCGGTCTATCGCCTGCGCATCGACTCCTGCAATCGCCTGTGGCTGCTCGATGCGGGCATCTCGCGCTCACTGGAGGACTACGAGATCACCTGCCCGCCCAAGATACTTGTGGTCGATCTAAACACGGATCGTGTCGTGCGTCGCATTGATTTCCCGCCCGAGGTGTTGCGTGGTGAGACGCTGTTCACCAACATGGTCATTGATGAGACCACGGCCAAGAGCTGTGACGATGTCTTTGTGTACATCACGGATACCGTGGAGCCGGGCATTATTGTATATGACAGCGGCAAGGATGTCACATGGCGTCACTCCCATCCAGGTATTATATATTTAAGTAGGTCCAATAAATTTCCTTTTTATTTATTTGCATATCTCCCGCACAGCCATGTATCCCGATCCGGATTTTGCGCAGTCCGAGATTCACAACGATCGCTTTGTGCTGATGGATGGCGTTGTGGGCTTGACCTTTGATGAGCGCAAGGGCGTGGTCTACTTCCAGCCACTGGCCACAGATCGGTGAGTATAACAGAGCCAAATATATATGGTCTTTAGCAGCTAATCCTGCAACGCATATCCGGCAGAGTCTTTTCGGTTCACAAGAATGTGCTACGCGGCGGTCCGCTGCCGAGTGGCCAGATGCTGGATGTCAAGCTGGTGGGCAAGAAGTCCTCGCAGGGCATTGGCTTGGCGGTGTCACCGTTCGACGGCAGCCTGATCTTTAGTCCGCTCAGCGAGACGGCCATTGCCTCCTGGAATCCAAGCAACAATCAGCAATCCGTGCTGGCCCACGATCGCGACAAGCTGCAGTTCGTGGCGGACATGACGACAACCCGCGCAGAGCCGGGTGTCATCTATGCCATATCCTCCAAGTTTCATCGCTTCTTCTTGAAGAATCTGAATCCCAATGAGTACAACAACCGCATAGTGCGCCTGGAGCTGCCGCACGCCAAGCCCGGCGGCCTCAAGAGCCCCCTGCTGGGGCATCCGCTGACGCTGACCACGGCTCCAGCCCACAACAGTTTGCTGCACTACAATTTGTACAATACTCACGTGCACGCCCAGAGCTCCACAAATGCGCTGCAAACGTACTTTACGAGTCCGGCGCTAACCACGCCCCTCACCACCAAGACACCCTACAAATTCGAGAACGCGGGCATTGTCAACTATGGACTGCGCAATCCATTCACAGCGCTCAATCAAGGTGAGGCCTTTCCGCCCACCAAGGCTACACGGGACAACTATCAGCGTTCCTATCTGGACACCCTCGTGGGTCCCCCCGTGACTACGGCGGCAGCAACAGCACCAGCTGCGCCCACGCCCTACTCCAGCCGCCACAGTGGTTACTACTATCATTAAAAACGTATTTATAAATGTTTAAAAAACAGAAATCAGCTTTTCTATTACATTTCATGCTCTTTATTCTTATGTGTAAATATTTTTTGTTAATTTATTTTCCTTGTAAATATTTAAAGTTGTTTTTAAATAATTGGTTTTCTGTCCAAACATGAACTTTTCACATCAAAAAAAGAAATCTTTTAAATATACATACACATATTGATGTATACTTATATACATAACCGTTTATTTTCACTTTGCAACCGATTGACGGACTGAGTTTCTCACTGCTAATTCCACCCGTAGCTGTGAAAATGGGATATGCAAAGTGGGGGTGTAAAACATTATGGTATACCGATCGGACTTAGTCTACGTTTTATAGATCTTTGTAAAAATTCCCTTCAAACGTGTTTCACACTTCCCCGAAAATTCACTTCACAGGGTGGAAATGGGACTTATATGAGTACAGACAAATTTCCTTTAGCTCACGTTTGGGAAACGGGTGGAAATGTGAAACGATTAAAGTTCATTTACCCAAAATAAAAAAAAAATTGACCGGGCTTACTATGTATTTATAAAGTACATACACTCGAAATACTTGCGAGTTTTTAACTAATATAAAATTTGATTTTTTTTGACCTATCTTAAATCTAAATTGTAGTCGCCAATTGAAGCTATAATAAATTGATTAAACAAATTTAACTAGATAATTAAATTACAATTTTGACGTGTTGAGCTCTGCCGCACTTAAAGCTGACATTAATGAGCCATAAAATGACGGCTTAACCAGTTCTAATAAAAATTAATTTTTTTTATTTCTTGGCCAACTCATGGAGTTTTTTTCTGGGCTGTGGCTGCGTTCTGCTTGGTTCACCTGAACTCAAGTTTCATTTAGTCTCTGCTGGCTTTAATGATAAAATTAAACGCGAACAACTGCAGCTTATTCGGAAATGATTGGCCGAGTGCTCAATATTTTTAATAGTTTCGAAAAGCTGTTTGCAAACCTAATGATAATTAATTTTTTCTGCATGGCAGCAGACCCAAAGAGTGCGCTTGCCTGACTACGAGATACCCTGAACCCTGTGCGAGTAACGTTTACTACAATTCTACAATTCTAGCTTCTCCTCCTTCTCTCTTACATCCTTCCATACACTTTTCACTTTGCTCCACTCTATCGGAAATTTGCTCTTGAATCGCGTCGGTGCTTATAGTCCGATCTTTATGAAATTGTTAAATGAATCTAACTTCAATTTTGGGGAATGGGAAATAGTTTCGATTTTCATAATCCACTCATTATAAAATATCCAGGGAATATCCAGGGAATGAGAAAGGTATCAAGAAAATGAATAAGTCCCAATCTGTATATATTATACGATAGCCTAAATACCAAATTTGTCGTCCCTAAATGTCCTAACTTTCGAGTTATGCTTTAAGAACCAAGTCCCGAAATCGATTTTTATAGATAATATGAAACTGGGAGAAGATATAGAAACAAAAGTGTTAGACTCGCGCTGCGTTTGGTTGAAGAGAATATACGCCTTTTATATGTCAAATCTCTAGCTTTAGTAGAAAGACAGTCGGACAGACGGACGGACAGATGGACAGACAGACATGACTATTTCGATTCTTTATGGTTTGCTCGTCTTGATATTAATGTTTGCTCAAAACGGTATACCCTTCTTTTTCTCATTTTCAATGGCATTTTCGGTGATGCTTTTAGAAATATTTGTGTTCTGAATTGGATTTAAGCTTTTCATTTTTATATTCTTACGTATTAAATACATAGGTTGACACTCGATTTGTCTACTATCTCTTTATATAAAACTGTTTGTCCTGACTGACTGACTGAATGACTGACTGACTGACTGACTGACTGACGGACTGACTGACTGACTGACTGACTGACTGACTGATTGGTGATCAACGCACAGACCAAACCGTAAGAGCTAGGGAAGCTAAAACTTTCACTGTAGCTACCTTATGTGATGTAGGTGCACGTTAAGACGGGGTTTCGGGAAATCCAACCGCAAGTGTGGAAAAATCGCGAAAACGTTTGTATGAAACTTTTTTATTTACCATCCGATCGGCCTCAAACTCATTTTTAAATATCTTTGTTCAAATTCGTTTGAAGGGCATTTCACACTGTTCGAAAAATGCATTTCTCCTTGGTGGAAATGGAGATCAAACATTTGGTGGGTGACGTTTCGCGCTGAAATTCATTTCCAAAGATTTAAATGCCTCACATTTTTCGCAAAATCAAAGCATCCTCGGTGGAAAGTGTGATTCAACGATTTTTTGTGCGAAGTTTTAAGTTGTGTCCGATTTGCTTCAAACTTATTTTCAAAGCTCTACATAAGAACTTAATGAATACGTGCTTCAGCTTCAGGTGGTGGTAAATTGGCGGAAAACGATTGTATGAAAGTTATTTGTTATTTGTTTACCGTTCGATCAGTTTAAAAGTCATTTTCAAAGCTTCTTAAGAAAATGTATTATGTACGCGCCACGGGCAATGCCGAGTTATACTCGCTAGATAATAAATAATCTATTAATATAACAAAATAAAAATAATTTATTTAAACTTGTATTTTGAATAAAACAGTTTAGTGCACAAAATTACATAATAAAAAGTTGTTGTTGTTGTCAAAATCTCATCGGGCCTCTTAGACTCTAGACTTTATTGTTTGAACGCGTTTGTGGGTTTAGTTCTCTAATAATAAAACAAGTGTTACCTTTAAACAGCTGAATACACAGAATGAATGCGCACAGGCTCTTGCATAGGTAATTAGAAAGGAAAGTTTTAACTTGAACCTCGTAGACAGAAAATCAACTAAACAAACAAGGGAATTTTGAAACTTTACACATCAAATATATGTTCACAGCTGCCCAAACGGCGCAGTTAAATATGTCTAAAAATTTGCTATATAAACAAGTGTCTTGGTTTTCAGCCAACATTCCAAGTAATCTACTTGCCTTGAGATGAGAATCCAAACTGTGCTCCTGGGCTGCGCCATTCTGGCCACTTGCTGGCTTCCATACAGCGAGGGTGATGATTCCACAACAACGGCAACATCTTCCGATACGACAACAACGGCAACATCTTCCGATACGACAACAACGGCAACATCTTCCGATACGACCACAGTGGCATCGGCCACTTCTGATACGACCACAGCGGCTAGCTCGTCTGACACAACAACAACCTCCAGCAGCAGCTCAAGCACAAGCTCCAGCTCCAGCTCCAGCTGCGCGAAAGCTTTGAAACGGCTCAGGCGCCAGATCCGGCGTCTGAAAAGGCAAGAGCGCCAGAGGGCCGCAAGGAGAAAGGAATTGGCCGCCATACGTCGAGCTGCCAGAGGGCGTAGAGTTGTGCGCGTACCCAGGAACTCGACCAGGGCCGCAAACAGGAGAAGGGTCGTCAACACGAACAGGACCGGCAACAGGATCGTCACCAGGAGCACGGTCGCCAACAGGAACAGGCGTCGTACGGGCTAAATTGAAATAATATTCCATACTTTTACAATGTATATACACAAATAAATGCAATCTAAAAAATTCACTTTCACTTTCGATTACAATTTAAAATATTAATATTCAGCTATATAATAGCTGCTGCTTTTCCAAGGGTGTTGTCAGCTTAGCTGTTTTATAGCTAGAATAAACGACTTTGGTTATGCAACTGCCAGAAAATTTGAGAACGTGAACGTTAAGATATAAAATCTGTCTATTTTACAAAATCATTTGATTTCATAGCTTTCCTATCGAAGGGAATTTGTATCGTCATTTTCTTTTGGCTAAAGCAGAAATGAAAACTTAAGATAAAATATTACAGAGTAAGCATAGGTAATTTATCTGTCGCTAAACTCTCCAAATGCTTAATTCATTCCACCCAATGTGAATAAAAACTATTTAACAAAGATTTTTGAAGATATGGTTGATGCTCATTATATATATTTAGACTACGAATTTAAAAGTTGAGCAGTTAAATTTTGAGTTACGGCAAAATCCATTTGGTCAAATGGGAAAATATTACTGACTCCAACTAAAATATTACTGTCAACATTTTGGGTACGTTTTTAGAGTGCAAAGATGCCGGAGATGTAAGCCGGTGCAAATGGGTTTAAATCTTAGTTTTAAACAAAGCTACTATAATTCTAATAAAACAATTTTTAGCAAAAATTAGCATTTTTTAAAAAGCATTATTAAGTATTTTGTCAAAGCTATTTCTAGCTGTTTTTTTAGAAAGAATCTAGCTGTTTTAGAGTCAGCCTTAAAAGCCTATAATAACTGAATGAGTTCTCGAAATGTTTTAGGTATTCCTGAGATTCTTCTTGGTAAAATTTGACGCATTAGGCGCTTATAAGCCTCAAGCCGAGGAGAGAAATCGATATTTATCGATTTGTTTATCTGTTTAAATACTCGTGGTGTAACTGGATTGATGTCTGTCAAGACGAGTGCCTCTCGTCGTGCTGTTTAATATACCCACTATCCACTTTCGATGCTTACAGGGTATACACAAATATTAAAATAAATGCAAATGGAATGTAAACGCCATAAAGACATGCCATTAAACACGATGGACATGTGCACTAACATAAATACATAAATATTGAACGTTCAGTTTCGACGACAAAGTCCGCCCCGTTGAAAAAAATTTCACTGGCGATCCTAAAACTGGAAGACTAACTGCAGCCCGTTGCCGGTTTCTCGTTGACATTAAAGTTTTGGCCCGCAACAGCGCTCATGTCCACTGGCGAGCGGCCGACAGCATTTTCCGGCAGACTCAACCGCCGAGAGATCAATTATCGCGTTCGCTGTTGACACGCTGCGACGAGGCGGGAGGCAGGGTGGCAGGGGCAGGTCGCAGGAGGCATGGCGCATGTGCATGTTCTATGGTCTATGTAAATCAACTTGCAGCATCCAGAGAAAAGGTGGCCATAAATCTAACAAGTATTAAACGGCACTAAACTCTGTCAGAGGGCCAGCGCGTACCTGTGCCGCGAGTGCCTTTTTTGTCTGGGCTCTCGAGTCGACAGCTCGACTGTCCATTTGGTCAATTAGGGTTTGTTAGCACCGGTTGGGCAAACACCTTAACGTCGCAGTCGCTGCGGCATGGTCCCTACCTGCTGCTGCTGCTGCTGCGGCAGATCAGTTTTCACGCGTCGCCTGAACGGTTAAGACGGGATTTCTTTTCTATGCTGTCGGGTCAACATAAAAAAGAACGAAAATGTTTCAGACCAAATGCATCCTGTTGCCTGCTGTTTGTCTGCTCTTGGCCAGCGCCTGTGCCCAGAAGTTGCGCATTAAGCAGCTGCACACGCTGCACAAGTGGAGCAATCTCAGCTTTGGTGTTTTGGGCCAGAGCCAGGCGAGCAACAGCCAATTTCTGCCCGTGGACATAGACATTGAGTATGGTGATGAGGGACGTCACCGGACATTTCTAACCATACCCCGGTTGAGCACTGGCACACCCTACACACTGGCCACAGTGGCGGCGGCTGATAATGGGCTGCTGGAGAATCCACGCCTGGAAGCCTATCCCAGCATGGCCTGGCATCTGCCAGCCAACAACTGCTCCGGCATTACATCTGCCATCAGAACCCATGTGAGTGCAGCCTCATCTACGAAAATTCCAACGCACAGAACTCTCCCTTTGTCTGCAGATTGATGAGTGCTGGCGTCTTTGGGTGGTGGATTCGGGTCAAGTCAACTCCATGCAGCTGTGCGCGCCACAAATTTTGATATTCGACCTGGTCAAGGATGAGCTGGTGCAGCGGTCCGCGCTGCCCCCACACATGTACACGCCCAGCATATCGATTTTTACGGCCATGGTCGTGGATCTCTTGGAGAGCAGTGCGCCCAGCAAATGCTTGGGCGGCATGGCCTACATTGCGGATGCTTGGGGCTATGGCTTAATTGTGTTTGATGCGCTCACCGGCAAATCCTGGCGCATCGAGCATGAGTCCATGCAGCCGTCGTTGGGCGTGCGTCGCTTTGGCAGCGCCCATGCTGGCATATTTACTGTCAGCCTGAGTCCCAGTCTGGCAGCAGGTAATTCCATTGATAATGTGGCCACTTTACGCGCATATTGCATAGATTCTGTTGAATTTCAGAGCGCTTTTTGTACTTCCATACGCTGAATAGCTTTTTTGAGATTGCAATTCCACTTCACCTGGTCAACAATGCGAGCATCTGGCGGCAGGGCTCAAGCGAGGCGGTCAGCAAACACTTTCGTATTCTGGGTACGCGTGGCACCCAGTGCGAATCGGAGGTCATGGACAGCGGCGGCAATCTCTACTGTAGTCTCATCAGCCTGGGCGCTTTAATAAGTTGGAGCGAGCATTCCAATTACACTGCAGATGCTATACGCGCCGTTGCCTACAATCCGCAACAGCTGAAATTTGTTACTGGCCTCAAGATCAATCGAAACTCAAAGGGAGAGAATGAGCTTTGGGCGCTGAGCAGTGAACCGAATCTCTTCGTGGGCGGCACCTTGAAAGCGAATGAGATTAAATTTCAAATAATTGGCTGTCGCACAGCTGACTTGTTAGCCAATACGCCGTGCACAGTGCATGCCATGCAATTATAATTTAAGATCCGATTATTAATATTAGTTTAAAACTTAAGAAAAATAACTTTTGCTTTCTGATTAAAAATTACATTTTAAAATGTAACCACTTTTGATAGCGCGCGAAAGCTGCTTGACATGACACGCAGTCAGCTGATTGTGCTTATCGAATAGTCGATTTTCGCTTATCGAAATGGCTATCTGCGTCAAACTATCGGCCATCCCTAGGCCGGCCGCTTGTTTACGTGTTGCAGTACAAGTATTTTTATTAATTTAAAAATTCTATATTTTAATTAAAGGTATAAACACTGAACATGACAAATCTACAACGTTGGCTATTCTATGCTACGCTCTTCGCTGTGCCTTATTTAGCCATTGTGCTGGGCACAGTGCAAACGGCGTTAACAACAAAATACTTTTTTCATATTCAACTGCTGCCACTGCTGCTGTTAGTTCTGTTTGGGGTAAGTTTCCTAAGGAATTATTACTATAATGAACTATTTCAACAATATACCTGCTATATGGTTATAGATTTATTCCGTGTGGACTGTGCTGTATCGTACATTTACGTTTAACGACTGCCCCGAAGCAGCTAAGGAATTGCAGGCGGAGATATTGGAGGCTCGCAAAGATCTGATTGCAAAGGGATTCAAGTTTCGCGACTGATGCCACAGAAAGTGCTTTTAATTAGACAGTCTTGTTCATGTATATACTTGCAAAACATATATTTTAATTTGTAATTCCATTAAATATAAAGAAAAAATGTGTATGTAAAAATAACTGTGTTCCCCTGAGATTTGTTCAACATTCAGATGCATGCAAAACTTTTTCAATTAGAATTAACATTATTCAAAGCGCCAAATTCCCATTGGAATCAAGCGTTACACGATCCAATAAGCTGTGCTGCTGATTAACATGCACCTTAGAGAGCCCCAAGAGCAACGCGCTGTTAAAGCTGTACTTTAACATAAAGCGCATCGGTTTTTTCCAATTGTACTTCTGGGCTCCACTGCTATGTTTCGGCATGGGCATTTGCTACAGACGATCTGTGCACTGGAATATGCACACACACACATGTACGCATACTTCTTTAAGACCAAGCCCAACCCAAGTTACGTTAGCGTTCTCTCTCACGCTCAGACTGGAAAACGGTAGAGCCGCTGCTTCTGCTGCCCAAACCAAAAGTCGATGCTACGAACAAAACAGTTCACGCTTAGACGTCAGCACGTTCACAACAACTAGCGCTTAATTCAGTCCGTGTCAGCATATCATATAGAGCCGAAAACAAAAACAAAACCAATAGCATGAGTCACAAATTTGTACTTTTGGCCTGTCTGGCCGTCTCTGTGTGCAGTGCCGCAAAGGTAAGTTTGCAAAATCACAACAAATCTAAGAAAAAATCAATTTAAAATGCAAGGAATATGAGGTGGGTGCCTTTGAAATACGCGTTTACATAGTATCAAAGGATAAGCAATATCAAAATCACGAGTGTGGTTTGGCCTCATGCAGTGGGTCAGGGTTGGCAGAGTCTGAAGAAGAATGTGAGTTAAAATACGCCTCGCGCCCTTTTCAAATGCAGCAACAAGTGGCGCGCCCTATAAAATGGGTTGAATGAACTCATGTCGGAAAATGCCGCAGCTCAAAATATTTATCATATATACATACATGCGTATGCACATATGCATGTATGTGTATGTGAGTTTATACATATATATGTATATTCGTGTATGCATAATTAATTGTATGAATTCAGTTTTCTCTGCTAGCTGCCGACAACATCTTGCTTTGTGTTTTTGTTTTGAGACCCAAAACCAGTTTTTAATGCCGACCAGTTTCCATTTCATTGTATTTGGCTGTGTTATGTGTGATGCATGTGGGAATCGGTGGTAGTCGCCGGCCACTCTTTGGAAGCCCCTTCCAGGCCAACCTGTTGTTGTTGTTGCTGCTAGTGCTGTTGCTGCTACGCGCAAGAATGGAACTCTTAGCTGTTCTACTGATGTGTTTCCACTACACAAAAAGCGCTGACTATTCTGTCGATGAGACCTTCAACTGAACAAAAAATAGGGGGGAAAAACAATAATAAGCAAATTTAGCTGAAAAGAGATGTATATTAATATGTACATATGTATGCATGTACATATATGCGTGTATAGAAATGAATGCAAATAAACAGTAACTCGCGCTGGCCGTTTTTTGTATTTAATACTCGTTTTGTCTATTGCGCATCATTTGTCGTCTTAGTCACGAGAGAGTTATAATTTATTTAGCGAGTTTTTGCACAATGTTTGGCAAAAATGTGTTATTAAGATCACGGAAAATTGCAAAATACGAAAACCGGCAAAGCTCAACTTATAAACTATATAATCAAATGTAGTTTTGAGCATACATATGTACATATAATTGTTGAGTTTTTATTATAAATTTGTACATATCTATGTATGTATGTCTATTTTTACATGTAGTTTTAACGATCCTTTTTTTTTTACTTATGAATGATTTTTTTGTCAATATTTTAAAAGCCGCTTTTATTCTTTAAATAACTTGCAGATACATACATACATACATTTTATTTGAATATGTTGGCAACTGTTTACTGTAAAGATAAAAAGCCATATGTGGAAAATACACAAAAAAATGCAAAGTAAAATTATTTTCAATATGGCGGATATTTAATACCCTTACCAGACTAGCAGTCGCAGATTTGAATATATAAAGGTATTTACCCAGCTCAATAAAATATTCAATGTGGAACACATTTCGCAACACAATCACTCTTTAAGCTAATAAAATAATAAATAAATAAATAGTCATTTGCATGTGATTGTGCATACATCTGCTGATAATCAGCAGATTACGTAATAAAAATCAAATCATATTTACACAATACCATTATTTAACAGAGATATTTTTAACGATCTGGCAGCACGAATATTTTATACACCTGTCAACGGAGCGTGCAGTTTTACTTGATTTTAAAGTCAACTCAATATTTGTATTTTATATTTCAAAGTATTATGGGTTTTTATATTAGTTTTAATTAGACTTGTAAAATTAATTAAGCATAAATTGAGGTACATAAAAGATAAATAATTAAAATTAAATTTTTTATCTATTGAGGATATTTTGTGGTCCAGTATTTATGGTACCCTTACGTTTTTGAGACTTAAAAATGTTCTGTTAATTTTGAATATTTGGCTTCCTAATTAGAAAATGAAAACCCAGGGGCTTGCTGCCTTGCTTGAAATCGGGCAATACAATTTTCGGGTGTGTCCACTCACTTAAAACTGATTTGCATGTACAGTAAAAATGCAAATTGCCCCATTTGCCGGCCACAGAAAATGGCAACACAATGTGAAGAATGCATTATACTAAAACAGCCAGCTATGCCCATTCCTCTGTCCTCTTCTGTCCCAGCCCAGCTAGCATGAAAGAGACTGAAATGTTTTGTTATATTGTTTACCAGGTGCCCATTGCCATTTACTACGAATCCCTGTGCCCGGACAGCGCCAAGTTCATTACGGAGCAGCTGTATCCGGCTATGAAGAGCGAGCTGAGTGAAGCGGTCGAACTCACATTTGTGCCCTTTGGCAAATCCCACGTGAGTGAACGAAACGTTTTAGGCCCAACAATGCCTCATTTGTGACACATTCACATTTGCACTCCATGCAGTTCCAAACACAAGGCTCTGAGGTAACCTTTACCTGCCATCATGGTCCCAACGAGTGTTACGGCAACAAGGTGCATGCCTGCGCCATCGAGCACATTCAGGCCAACTCCTATCAAAATGATTACACACGCGAATCGCTTACCCTGGACTTTATCAACTGCCTGATGAAGGCGGGCAAGAACTTCCCGGACAATGTGTATCCGGGCCAGCGTTGCGCCGGAGAGAGTCATGTCAACAACTGGGAGAACATCAAGACTTGTGCGAATACCACCGATGGCAGCGTGCTGTTGCGCAAGGCTGGCGAAACCACCCAGAGGCTGAAGGAGCCACTGACCAGTGTGCCCACCATTCTGTTCAATGAGGTAAACCCAATCTGTTTACAAGCTAAACATGTTGCTTATTCTTATTCGCCTTTTCCAGCAATACGACAAGCAGGTCAATGAGCGCGCCCAGGTCAACTTCATCGGTACCCTCTGCAAATATGTCTCGGCGCCCCAGCCACGCATCTGTGCCCAGCACAACGGCGCATCGGGTCTGGTTGGTGCCAGCGCCCTTCTGAGCTCCCTCTTGGGCATCTGGTTCATACGTCAGCTTTACTAAGGGCCCAGCTTTACTAAGCCTTTGGGGACAAATTTATAATTGCTTTACCTTGCAATCACTTTGAATCTCTATAATTTGTATATTGCCTAACTGTTTTACACTCATTCTGAATTCCATACCGTCCAAATATAGAAGCAAAATAAAATTAGAGCTTTAAAATTCAAAGATTGTTGTATTTCGTACAGATTCGAAAATAATAACAGTGGGGAATCTGCAAATTTATTTCAGTCAGACAAACCGAGTCTGAGGTTTAGGATAGTGTATAAATATAATGCCGTCTTAACTGGAAGATCAGAATTATCTTTAGCTATTGAGAAGTTGGCTTGGTAGCTTGTGACTTTTTCTTAGCTCTCCTAAATAATAAATATAATTTAATATTTCCACATTAGATCCTAATATGTAATTAAATTTCGCTTAGAAAATTACCAAGTCAAGAGGCAGCCCTGCGGAAATGCACAACAAGCTGTTTAATATAGATAGTTATAAAATTGATACGAGCTTTGTGTAGGGGTGTAGCTACTGTTTGATGTCAAATATTTTGATCTGTGAGTTCGGGGCAGCAACAGCTGCTTATCGACGTAATTTTTCTAGATGCGATAAGCTGCTGCTTTAGCAACAATTGAAAATAATTGTTGTAAACAAGTCATTGGCAAATCAATTTGCGTTCCGTCTGCTCAGACTACCCAACTATGTATGCAATGCGATTGTGCGAACTGCATTGCAAATCAAAGGCAAATTACATATTTGATTAACATCAAAAGCCAACGCAGCCTCCCACACGGCGGGGCAAAGGACAAGCGGAAAAGTTGGACTTGGCTTGCGGCAAAGATGGCCACGGCACAGACGTCAGCAGATGCCAATTGAATCCATTCATTGATTAACTCATATCTATTCACATGACGCACTGCTGGCCAAATAAATCTGAGCAACTCGCTAATTTGACATCCCAGAAGCAGCTGAAGCGGCCGCCCTTTAGTCTATCACGGGGCATGGCAATGGGTGCTTTGGGCCTGGAGCGGACTGCGTTGTGCCAAGGTTCACAGCGGATGCCTCCGCCTCAGATTTCGGGAACATTTGCGTCCAAATGCTGCAGCACCTACGCAAATTAATGGCACAAAAAGGCCATTGCATATAACCAGGCGGCGGGCGGTTGGCAACGCTTCGGGTATCATTCGGCTTGCCGCGCGCTTCTGATTGGCTGCGCAACAGTCACAACTACACCCACACACGCATGCACCCACACGCGCACACACACGCACGCAGTCGTCCTGCTGTATAAAGCTGAGCCGTGTGCTGTTAACGGCCTCAAACGAATTTTGGCTTTCATTCGAGCGACATCAACACCAAACGCGCAGAAAAAGATTCAAAATATTAGTTACAACTTTTTAAGGTGCAGTGTGGCAGCATTGATTTGCAACTACCAGATCTGATTATAACTAACTAAAACAAGGTGTCAACTTTATGTTAACAACTTTAGCTTGGCTGAACCACAACCGTATACTCAACAAATAAGTTAAAAAAAAAAACAAATTGGTAAGTGATTTCCGTCCCTTGGCGGACTTTACAGATTTTCTTTTCTAATTTGCAATTTTAAGTCCAAATTTCAATTGCTTCTTCAGGCTGGCAAAATGATTGTTTGCTTAAGTTGCAGCCCACATTTCCCATAGAACCTCTGGCCCCCAACTCACGCACACACACACACACACACACACACACATAAACTCACGCACGCCCATTTTAATTGCCCCTTCGGTCATATTTTGTGGCCATGTTTATTTGTTCAATTTAATTGAATCAAATTAGATTAGTGGCCATTTGATGTGGCTGGCTTAGTTCAGCTTTGCTTTGATTGCGCGTTTCAGCCTTGTTATCATCATGTTGCGTTTAACTTTGCCATCCTGGTTGCTTTGATTAATTTTTTATAAGCCGCCAGGGGCTGCACTTGCTCTCGCAAAGTTGAAAGTTGTGAATGCCGCCCACATTTGCCTAACACAAAATTAAACTAGAAGGCAAACAACTCCTACGCACCAGCTGCATAAATCCTGGCATCCTGGCGAATACTTAAAAAATATAAGAAAATAAACACTATAATTCGCTGTAGTTGCGCTTTTCACCTTGCCTTGGGAAAGCAACTTGTTGCTAACCCCATCAGTGCACCTGATGCATGAAGCATAACTCAATTGATTCTTAAAATTTGCTTGTACATTTGCTTCTACACAAAAAAAAAATTGGTTCCTAATGTAAAAAGTAGTAAAATATTAATTTCCTTCTATACCAAGTGGCTCAAGTCAAGTGGGTACTAAAATAGTTAAATGGCAAAAATCTAGATCTTAAGAATAAAAATGAAATTTGGTCTACATAAGCTCAGCTCTCTTATCTTATCTCTTTGAAATACTCAGAAAACGATTTATATATTCTTGATTTACAATTTTGAGAATTTAAGCTTAGCAAACCAGATAAAGACAGAGCTTATAAAGTAATAAGTAGAAGGGGATATTTGTAAATTTGGGACACGCACTAGCTGGAGTGCAGGCACTTCTCGTTTATTTTGGCACAATTTCAAGCCATAGACCTATTTCAGTATACTTATATCCTAGTCGAGCTATTTCAACTAGACTTTTTCTTGTACACGTATTAAAATGCGAGACACATTCTCTGGCATAAATTAAATTGTAAACGATACAAGAACACAAAAACGGCTTCAAGAGCCTTTAAGCGTTTATTTGGTAATTGATAATAAGCTGCATTTTAAAATGAAAGCATTTTAAAGAAGCGAGTCCTCTCAGACCCAACTAGACGTGTTATCTGAGGGCAAATGAACAAAGAAGATACACTTCAAACCTCAGGCTAGTTATCTGGAGGAAGCATTGACTTATCCGGAAGGCACATAGTTAACTCGTGATACTTAACTGCATTCCATACAAATAATAATAATAATATTAATAATGGTTATGTAAGTATACGCTTTTTATTAGCAAATAAAATAACTCTTAAGGCTTCAAATTGGGTTTGGTAAAAATATTAAAATAAATCATTTTATTCCTATTTGCTCTGAATTGCCTTTATACATTTTTTATTTGTACCCATGTATACATGGTTATATGTATACTAAAAATTTACATATGCACACCCACGATTATTTTATTATTTGTAATTATTATTAAATATACATTTGAATTAGAGAACAAAATAATATAATATTATATAAAAAGTAATAAATCAGAATCATTATAAATATATAGCGGGTTAAAGTTAGAACAAGGAAGAGTAAGAAAAATAGAGAGGGTACAACTTGATAATATAAGACTTATCAGACGTTTATTATTGCCTGTAAGCCTTACTTGAACTCATGAGAATCGCATAGTAGGGCGCTAATAAATAATACATACATACAAAAAAATGTTATAAAATTACAAACTAGATTACCATATCTGAATAAATAGTGAGATTCTCAAAAAGATTGTATGCTTATTTTAAATTGCAGTAAGAGCAAAAGAGAGATAGAGAAATATATATATATTTTGAGAGTGAGGGAGAGAGACAGAAAGAGAAACGGAAATGGGTACAACGATACAGTACAATTAGATCGCCAGCACAACTCGATAATATAACACTTATCACCAAAGCATACAAATCTGTAAATCTTTATGAAGGAGATACAGATATATTTGGAGAAAGAAAAAAGCTATGGAAAGAGAGAAAGAGTATACAAAAGATACTCTTTATTGGATCGCCTGCACAACCTGATAATATAAAACTCATCAGCAAATTATAAGAATCTGTAAGTCTTACTTGATCTCATGAGAATCGCGTAGTAGGGCGCTATTAAAAAATATAAGCATACGAGAAAAAAAAATTACAGACTAAAATACCATAACTGAATAAAAACTGGGGTCACATCAAAATTGTATGCTTTTATTAAATTGCAGTTTAACTTAATTTACAATTAGTGTTAACTGTTCCAAAGTTGTTCGACAACTAAAAACTACAAGAGACTGCAGCAAATTTAAAACGCAAATGTTTTGAGCAGGCATTTAATTAGCTGACATTTGTTTTTCCACTTGCTGAAGTAAGGCACAAAATGTAGCTCCCCAATCAGCGCCCGGCTTGTCGCTCTTAATTCGACTATCAGCACGGCCTGAACTAAATGGAATGCGATCTGTACCGATCAACACCGATCAACACCGATCGGCCACCCGCCGGGCCAGTGAGCCGCAGCCGTAACGCATGCCGCAGGCACACTTTCAAAAACTGCGCGGGTATTATTAAGATGCCCATTATTCAAATATATACGCTCACATATAGTATATGTAGAGGTGATGTTTATATTTGCATTATCAGCTTGCTGCTGATTAGAAAAATTTCACACGGAATACATAAGGGTGCATGTACCTGAACTTTGCCTGGGCAGATGTTGATCGCGGATATTCGTTGCGATGCGGCCGGGATTGGGTAAGGGAATGGGCTGAAAAGCAACAGCACCTGCTGGAAAGTTTTTCGAAATTGATTTATGTGGGCCAGCAGCCAGAGAAACGGATATTAGTATATGTATTATGCATAAATGTTTATAGATATAGATTGGCAGCAGCAGCTCATTAAATCGTTATTAGCTGACACTCTGCGCTGGGAAAATTGATAAGCCGCGGGCGGCAGGCGTAGAGCCCCATTCCTGCTGCCCATTGAAGTTGACACATGGCGCCGCTGTCCGCGGGCAGATTGATAAACAAAGTAATAACAATAATATTATTGTTTTTTCAGCGTGTAGGTGGGCATTGTTGATTTTTATTACTACTTTGCAGTAGCAGCACGCACACACACCCACACACCCACACACACTCACACACACACACACACACACACACACGCAAAGACTGCACTTATCTGTGCTTATATTTAGTTCAGCTTGGGCCTGAAAATAAATCCCATCTGCGACAGAGCTTCAGAGTTGGCATATTTTTAGTCAAGTCTGAAGAGTCTGCAATTTGCAATGTCTGGAATCGCAACGCGTGACACGATTTCAATTGCGATTAACGCGTCGTGATTTGTGTCTTATCAACCAGCCCAGAGTCGAGAGTTTTATATGGATTATAAAGCGTTCTGTCTCTGGCGCTGATGAACAGTCGCACAGTCGTTCAGTCGCCGGGCAGCGCTTGAAAATGTGAAAACGTCGACTCGAATTCGTGGGCAGCTAGAAGGCAAAGTTTGGTGTTGCCGTCGTTGTGCTTAAATACAAAAATAATAATTTACAATAAAAAGAAACAAGTCAAATTCTATAGAAAATCCTGTAAAAAACCCAACTCTATCTGTGATTATATATATTTATATATATACATTTACAAAACGTACAAAGTTCCCCAGCAAGCAATATATACATACACACATACAAATATTTAGTATATATTTAATATAGCAATTAAATTGAATATTAATTATTGTGCTGCGCTGATAAACAAAGCAACTTGAAGTGTTATTTTTTTTTTTTTGTTATGTTTTATTTGACTTGTTAGCTGTATATAAGCCAATAAAAATATCAACTGATCAGTTAAAGCTGAGGTGAGTTTCTCATTGCCTATTGCGAACGTACTGCACCTGGACACGCGACCTGCTGCGTTTTAAAAGAACAATAGAATTCGCTTGGCACACATGTCGTATGATTGATGGCACATACCAGAAGACATTGGTAACGCTTTTCACATACATACATTTAATTCGTGAGAAATCCAAAATGAATTAGCTTTTGTCTATGCATAGTCCTTTGTAAAATAGTTGCAAGCAGCTTGCTTAAGAAATTCAAAGCACGTAATAAACGCACATTTGCTTAAGTTGTGCCACACACACGCGTACACACACGCACACTAATTGCCTGTATGTGGGTGAAACATAAATCAAAGTTCAAAAGTTTTGCGCCCAGGATTAACTACTTAAATGCATGTGACTTGAGGATTGGATGTGTGTGCCGTGCTTTTCTAATTAGTGTAGCATATCCGCAGGGGCAGCCAGCCCATTGTCAGCAACTCAACAACAGGTGGGCGCCACCACGCCCACTTACACACACACACACACACACACACATACACCTGTACAAGTATGCTAGCTATAATTGCCTGCCGTTTATTCTGTTCTCCTTGCAGTTAATATGAAATCCACAATTTCGCTGCTGCTGGTTGTCATCTGCACCGTCGTCCTGGCCGCCCAACAGAGCCAGGCCAAAAGTGAGTATTTGTTATGCATGCGGAGGCTATTCGAAATGTATTCAAACATTGACTTATATTGCTTGCCACATGCCACTTAAGTTGTTATTCCAATGCGCATTGAATTTAAGCGCAAAAAACAAACCTATAAATGCCTGACAAGCGGAAGTCACAAACACACACACACACACGTTACTGCTGGCAGCTTCAATTGTTACAGTTTACATTTAACGGAAAACAAACAGAAGCTTCGACCTCGCGTTGACATCGTTGTCGCCATTGACATTGCTCCTTTGTGGCTTTGTTTATGCAGCTGCTACCTCATCAAAAGGGGTCGAGTGAAGCGAGGGGAGGGGGCGTGCAATTGCCACACGCAGCACAACTTTATTATGCATAAAAGGTGGACTGCATATAATTGGCTGCACTTACTTTCTTATCATAATTTAGCCAGGAATCCAGAGGCAACTGATACAAAATGCACAACAAGAAAAACATCAAGTATTTGCAACTTAAAAGCCATTAAATAAAATTAAATTTATATCTTAGGATAAAGTCCACAAGTTAAAAAGTTTAATCTTATTTCAAGTACGATTTCAGAGTTCCAAAATCGGAAATATTAACCCATTGAAAATGGGTAAAAAGGATATAATGTAAACTGTATGTAAACAGGCAGAAGGAAGCATCTCCGACCCCATTAAGTATATATATTCTTGATCAGCATCAATAGCCGAGTCGTACTAGCCATGTCCGTCCGTCCGTCCGTCTGTCGATCCTGCTTCTTCTAGGATTTTGTTGTGCTTATTTGCAGTAAATCGTTATAAATCCAATATAATCAGAACAATTAAGTCAGACTCTTTCATTGCCAGCCTTCGATTCGGCAAGTGACATTCAAAATATGTTAACAAGAAGTTGTTAATGCTCCCGCAGCGACTGGCAGCGAGCACATTAAGCCCAAAACAAAGTTCAAATGACAAGAAAAAGCGCCAACTCCCTCGTGCAGCTCCCTTAATAAAGTGCTGTGTGCGAGCGGAAGCTCAAAAATAGCATCGAGTCAACAGTCAAAATAAACTCAGACAAGCAAAAAATAAAATACAAAAATAAATACAAATAAAACCATACTCCGAATAAAATATCACATACGCCTTGTCACGCAGGTCAAATGCTTATCAAAAGATGTCTCTCCAGAGCATTGGCAAGCGATTAAAGATTTCCAGTCCCACAGACCTGGGCACAGTTAATGTTTGTTCATCGAATTTTCACATAATGGTACAAACTTTGCCCCTCTCCTGGGTATTGCAGCCACGCATCGGGTTTAAACTTTTCGAGCCAGCCCTAGTCGCAGTTAATAAAGTGTTTCAGAGTGTGCGTATGTGTGCGAGTGTGTGTGCGTGTGTGTGTGTGTGCGTGTGTGTGTGCGTGCGTGTGTGTGTGTGCGTACGTGTGTGGAAGTTATATCGATTACAGTTTTTGCTTGAAGCAATCTCTTGCCAAAGTAGATGCTAGCTAATTCATTTTGCGATTTTGCATTTCGCATTTTACAGAAGGCTGTCAGGCCTATGGGCACGTCTGTTACGGCGGACATGGGAAGCGGTCCTTGAGTGCGGCGGGCACCAGGGCCGGCAGTGCTGCGTCTGCCAATGCCGTTGGCCTGGACCAGGAGTTTGTGCGTCCAAATGGTCTGCTGCCAATGCTGGCAGCAAATGAACAGGCGCCCGCTGTGCCCGAACCGGAGTTCGACGATTATCCGTCGCGTCAAGTGCTCTACAAGATAATGAAGTCGTGGGTGGGTTAATAAACACCTAAATTCATAGCATGACAAATATCTTAGTGCATATCATTTTCTCTCCTTACAGTTTAACCGCCCGCATCGACCAGTACCTCGCCTAGGTGAGCTGGATTACCCGCTTTCGAGTTCCGGCGAAAGTTTTAACCGCGAAGTTGCGCTGAACGCGCTCAACTAAGCTCAAAATCCAACTTGGCATTAACTTCAGCATCAATTGAACCAAATGAATCACTTTCCCAAACTGCAACAACAACTTACACAGCAACAACAACAACATTATCAACTACTTATTAATGTTAATTAAAATTGTTTCATAGGTGTCTACACATAGAGCAAGAAATTATTGCTAATTGCATAAACTGTGAAAGTTGAAAATTAACTGAAATTTTTAAGGGCTGGTAAAAATTTCGGTGTACAAAAAAAATGAACAAAAACGTTTTCAATAAAATACAAGAAAATGCTATGGCAAATGTTTTTTATTGCTTTTATTAACTTTTGTATGAAACAATCGAAAGACTATACACATACATATGTAGTTGGTAGTATTACTTATTACAAATTTTATTTCAAAATAACCAAAAACTTTAAATGGTCACAAGAGTTTTTATTGAATCTATGTTTACGAGTACGCGAGTTATTTAATAAAATGAAATTCAAAATTGAAAAATATTTAAATTGAGCGTTTAATTTATTTAAATTAGTTCTTGTCTGCAGAACTATTTTTGGGCATTTAAATTAAACTGTCATGTTCGACGACAAGGAGTCGATATCTCGATATTTTTATGTACAAATGTACACACTTCGATTGTTATCGATAGCTTCAACAGCTGTTTAATCTTCCCGAATGAAAAAAATTTTAGTTTAACACTCGCATTCAAACAAAAGTATTTTAGTACACATATTATAAATATCACGGCTTGTTGAGTGTTTGATACATTTTTTTAAGTTCTTGAAGTAAACTTATACATTTCTTTGACAACAAGTATTGTAGTTTTTAAACTAACCGACTAACAGTTTTGATAGCATTGCTCTGTTATGTTAACATTGATTTACAGTTTTGAATGTACTGCTTTCAGGGTTTGGAAATATTGGTCTTAACACACGTGCTCTGATGTTGCGGGTAAACATGAGAATCGCGAAAGATTATTAAAATATAAAAGAAAAAGACTTGAGTTTAATTAAAAATGACGCATCTGCGTGCAGAGGACAGCTCGGTAGCGGAGGAGAAAGAATCCCGAGGAGTTATTAGGGAGAGCAGCCAGATATTCCGACGGAATCGCGCGCTCGGCTATGTCAGCAACCAAGTGCCGGCCGTGACGCGCTATGTGCAACGCCGTCGAGACACGTTGCTGATTACATGCATCGGCCGCTCCTTTCAGGTGTACACGGCCAGCCATTTGCGTCTGCTGCACGTCAGCGGACTGCACCCCGACGATATAACTGCCTTGGCCACGGACAGACTGCACACGTACACGGCCAGCAACAAGTGTATCTATGCCTGGCGCGCGGGCAAGCACATACGGCACGTGTATCGGGGTCATGAGCGTGATGTGCATCTGTTGCTGCCCTTTGGTAGAAACCTGATTGCCGTGGATCGTAGCAATGTGCTCAAAGTGTGGAACATACCCACAGACGATGTCTATTTAGATGTGCCCTTCAAGGAGGACGAGTTCCTGATAACGGCTCTGGCTCATCCGCCCACTTACGTCAATAAAATTGTGCTGGGCTCACAGCAGGGCCAGCTGAAGATCATGAACATCAGTAAAAACAGCATTGTGTGCACGCTCAGTCGCCATCCCAATCGGGTGACTTGTATTGAACCGGCGCCAGCACTGGATGTGGTGGGCGTTGGACATGCTGATGGCACAATTATTGTTTTGAATCTGAAATTCGATACAGTGCTGATGGCCTTCAAGCAGGAGTGGGGCTTAGTCACCCAGCTGGCTTTTCGTACAGATGGTCCGCCCATATTGGTATCCGCCTGCAGCAACGGTTATATGGCCTTCTGGAACTTGGAGGAGCACAAATTGGCTGGTCAATTGCAGGCGCACGAGGAGCAGGTGACCACGGCTATATGCCTGCCCAGCGAACCGGTGGTCTTTACCACATCGCCGGACAATTCCATGAAGCTCTTCATATTCGACATGTCCGACGGTGGCGCACGGCAGTTGCGCATACGCGAGGGTCACACAAAGCCACCGCTTTGCATACGCTATCATGGCGGCACCGGCGTTTCCATATTGTCCGCCGGTGAGGATAGTACCCTACGTGTATTCTCTACCATCTCGGAGTCGCTGAACAAGAGCATGGGCAGAGCCACTTACAATCCCAAGGCGACCAAGAAGAAAAGTAATTTAATCAATCGGAATTCTCTCTGTTCCTAATTAACTGCTAATTCACTTACAATTCACAGATCGCTTTCAGTACGATAAGCACAGCATGCCGCCAATTCTGGAGTTCACCTCAGATGTGGCTCGCGAAAAGGAATGGGACAACATTGCCGCCATACATGCGGGCATTATACAGACGACCACCTGGACATTTCACAAGAGTCGTTTGGGCGAGCATCGCCTGGTGCCGAAACAATTTCAAAATAAAAATCGCGTCAATTTCCAAACCGAGACCACATGCATCATATCCACCAATTGCGGCAATTTTGTCATCATTGGCTACAGCAGCGGCGATGTGGAGCGGTTCAACATTCAGTCCGGTTTCCATCGCTTAAGCTATGGCGGATTCCATCCGGCGCATGAGGCAGCTGTACGTGGCTTGGCTTGCGACAACTTGAATCAGTATGTGGTTTCTGGCTGTTCCAAAGGCCTAGTCAAATTCTGGCCATTCAAGGGCAATTGTGAGTGTGTGCTGAAACTGAATTCTTGACCAACGAACTCAAGCCTTTGTTTATTCCGCAGCTCAAAAGCCGACTGCCATGCTGCGTTTGGCGGACGGCGTTGCTCTGATGCGGCATCATCGCGAAAGCTGCATGCTGGCCATTGGCCTGGAAACATTTAAGATCTATGTGGTAGACATGGATACGCGTGTAATTGTGCGCAAGTTTATTGGCCACACAGCAAAGCTCAACGATATGACCTTTAGTCCAGACAGTCGTTGGCTTATCACCGCCTCCATGGACTCTACTATCAAAGTGTGGGATATACCTTCGTCCTATATGATTGATCACTTTCGTGTGGAGCGTCCCTGTATCTCGCTGAGCATGTCGCCCAGTGGCGATTTTCTGGCCACGGCGCATGTCAACCTGCTGGGTATTTACCTGTGGGCAAATAAGACGCTGTTCAATCAGATTTCGCTGCGTTCCATTGATCCAAACGAGCCTGCACCATATGTGGGTCTGCCCACAAATATTTGCGATGCCATGGAACTGGAGGACGCCATGCAGGAGCTGGGCATTGATAATGATGAGGATAATGTGGAGCTAGGCGAGGAGATTGATGCCAAATACGAAACGCCCAAGCAGCTATCGCCTGAACTGATTACACTGTCAGGCCTGGCTGCCTCTCGCTGGCAGAATCTGCTCGACCTGGAGCTGATTAAGCAGCGAAACAAACCGAAGGCACCACCCAAAGGGCCCAAACAAGCGCCCTTCTTTCTGCCGACGGTGTCAGGCCTGGAGATGCGCTTTGATGTTAGCAACGCACCTGCAACCAACGATGGCTCCCGAGTGCTGCAGGCCTCCTCCTTCAATAATCTAACCGCCTTTGGCAAGCTGCTAGAGGCAACTGCCACAAGCAACGATTTTGATCCCGCCGTGCAGCACATCACTCAACTGGGTCCGTCAATGGTGGACTTTGAGATTAAATCGCTGCATCCCGACGCTGGCGGTACTATGCTCGCCATGCGGCAGTTCCTCAAGCTGATCGAGTTCATGTTTGGCACGCATCAAGACTTTGAACTGGCGCAATCCTATCTAAGCGTTTATCTGCGCTCCCACGGCCTCAGTCTAACTGAATCACCAGAGCTCGTCAAGCCCCTGCGGAGCGTCTCGCAGGTGCAACAGTTGGCCTGGGAGCGCATCGAGAGCAAACTGATCTACGGCACAGGCGTCGTCGCAGCACTGCGTAACTTTGCGCATTAGTTTGAACTATTATTATTGCTCTAATTACTTTTTACCATGTTTGTAAATAAATTGGTAACACATTTTAAAAACTAAACTATGGTGTATTAGATGAGAGTCACATAAGGTCATCAACAAATAGATCAGAATGCGGGATCATATATTTTCTAGATAATTCAAGTCAGCTGGTCCAATGACATACATTTTTGGACTTGTGCGGATCAGGACTATGGACTCGCATTTAAAAATAAGCGTTGAGAAATTTGTTAACTTAAGATAAGTCGTAACTTAGTAGATGTACTGTAAAGTGTATCTAGAATAACAATTTAAAGCTTCTTTAGTAAAGCATTTTATTTAGCGGAATCGCCAATTTTTCAACTGAAATTATTCTATACAGATTCACGAGGCTATGGAGGTATATATTTGTTAAATCGGACTTCAATATTCTGGGCTAGTTGAGTTTTATAAGTAAATTAAAATATATCAGCTAAAAGGTCTTTAAAAATATACATTTTCAGACAGTTTTACCTAAATTTCAATATTCAAAACAAAACAAATATTAACCCCTGATAAAACTTCAGTTTACAGTTAGCGCACCTGTCGATCAGCCAGGATAGTATACATATTTATTAAAAGTAATATTGTACGTAATCTGGAAAAATACCGCTGTAATATATACAGCTCGGAAATTTGATTTTAAAATTATTTAGAATTTCGATCAGGAAAATAAAGAATGTAGAATATTCCATTTCATTAATTTTCTCATTAAAAAATACTTTTGAAATCCAACTAAAATTAGTTTTCAGTTTCTAATGAATTATCCGAATTTTTGCATATGAGATTAACTCGGAAGCTGAGCGTCCGCTGTATTAAGTTATTTCCCAACACACAAAAAACAAACTGAAATTAGAAATTGGATGCACACAGTTTTAGGTTGAAATTGTGTATTAATTATTTTATTTGTTATATCCGTTTAATCTAACGCTTTTATTTATTTATGCTGGAATTAAATAACTTAAACTTGTTCCTAGACGCGATCGTGCGCGGACTTTTAATATGCGGTTCTAGTGGCGACTGATTTAAGGTTTATTTTTGTTTTTCATGTTTTTTTGTTTTGGGGCTCCTATTGTCAACTCATATCCAACTCAATATAAACGGAATAAAACAATATACTTATAGTTTTATATATATATAGTTTTCGAACCACGCGTTAAAAATGTGCATATTTTGATAAGTATTTTTGTTTGTTTTGTTTTTATACCTAAATATCGTAATTAGCATATCTCGTAGTCTGAAGAGCATATCTCTGATCCTAAGCCATATAACTTCAAATTTGTTTCTTAAATTTCGGCTTCTTTATGTTAAATGTTTGCGAGTGTATTTTGCTTGGGATATTACAATGAATGCGAATGCCACTCGAATGGTGGTACCGGTGCTATAGTGGTTGGTGTTGTTGGAGGTGGTGGTGCCAGGTGTTGTTCTGTTAGGCGCCTGTGTTCAGGGGGCAGCAACTGGTTTAGATTCAGGGTGTTAAGACGTCTTGATTTAGGTTACAATAGAACGCAGGGCGAGCGTATACACTCCATATCGCTTGGATTGGATATAGACATGTTTTTTTTTTTTTTTTTTTTTTAGATTTTGTTTACTTTTTGTGTTGTAGTTTTAAGTGTAGGCCGCTTAACTGGATGTGCACTGTTGAACGCGCGGTCCATCTTGATAGCCACCCTCATCCTCGTCGTAGGCCATGCGCTGGTGTTGCTGGCGACGTTGTTTGGGATCAAAGTCCTCCTGCAAATTAGTAGAGAAAGATTACATTAGTTATGCTACCCGGTAAAAGAGCTCTGTTTGACTTACCAAAACTGTATGCTCTGCATCAACTGGAATGTCAATCTCTGGCGCCGGTGGCAAGCACTGCTTGAGCGTCGGTATAACTGATGGGTTGATCACATCGGGGAAAATGACCTCAAACTGAATGATTAGCGTGCCCTTCTCCATGGGATTCTTGAATATGGGCATGCCCTCCTCTGCGATACACTTAGTCATTTCATGTCGTATAACTTCGCCAGGTTGCGTGGCCACGAGCAGATCGCGATCATCCAGCGTCTTGACAATGCGCTGGAACCCACACAACGCCTCGACCAGCTGGAGTGGCATTTTCATCATCAGATCCGTGCCGGCATGTACAAACGTTGTATGCTCCTTTTCGTCCAACAATATTATGATATCACCCGGTTGAGATTCGGGCTCGTGATCGCCCTCGCCTGTAAATACAATCTTCTGACCATCCCGCATGCCTTTCTCGATGTGCACTTCCAACACCTTGCGCTCCCGCACAGTTTTACGTCCGTTACAGTTCTTGCAGCGATCCTTCTCCTGTATGGTCTCACCGGTGCCGGAACACTTTCGGCACACCTGCTCGATGTGTTGCACAATGCCGGGCGCGATCTGTTGCACGCGTGTCTCGACACCGTTGCCGCGGCACTGGACACACTTCTCGATGCTGCCCTTCTTGCCTCCGCGACCCTCGCACTTGTCACAAATCACATTCTTCTGCAACTGCAGTTTGCGCGTTGCCCCATTGTACAGCTCCTCGAGCTGCACGGACATCTGGTGAACCACATCCTTGCCGCGTCGTTCACGACGACGACCGCCGCCGCTACCGCCAAAACCGGCGCCAAAGAACTTCTCAAAGAAGTCCATGGGATTGCGGAAATCACCGGAATCGGCGCCACCCTTCTTGATGGCCGCCTCACCGCCCTCATCGTACACCTGACGCTTGTCCGCATCGGAGAGCACCTCGTACGCCTGCGAGATTGCTTTGAATTTCTCACCCTCATTAGGATTCTTGTCCGGGTGGTATTTCAGCGCCAATTTTCTGTAGGCCTTCTTCAGCTCATCAGGTGTTGCGTTGGGCTTCACGCCCAGCAGATCGTAATAGCCCGTTTCTTTGACCATTTTAGCTGTTGCTTTTTAAACTTTAACTGCAAGCACAAACGATTACAAAATTTCGATTACTCAGGTTGCCATATATTTATAAATTTTTGGTTGTGCGTGTAACTGGTGCTTCCGGCATGCAAAAAAAAAAAATAAAAAAAAATCAAGGTCAGTAGATAATGCGCTGGCAAAGCACCACGTTTTCTAGAAATTTTCTATTTCAATTCGCTTTTATGTTCGTTTTTTGGATACCACTTCGACGCCACACAGCTGACTCTGCCCCTCTCTCGAGCACTCACACTACTCATTGGCGCACAATTATATTGACGCAAAAACACCAACACACACGAGCATAAGTATATATGTACATAAGCTTCTAGAAAATTTCGTCAGCATTACGCAGCCCTGGTCACCGTAACCGTTGCCCCTGCGCGAACAGCGGCACAAAGCAAACGCATGACAATGTGAAAAAAGTACACCAACACAATGACGAGGTGAAAAGCAACGTGCAAAAAAAAAAGAAAACGCTGTACAATTTTCTATTGATTTATGTGCGATTTTCGTAGGTCCCTTGTCAATTGTGCAAGCTGCAGCGCCCTGGCAGACACATGCATGTACATACTTACGCGTTTGTATGTGTGCACAAGCTGAAACATGTGCCGCGCAGGACGCTGCGTCAGAGGAAAGTAATTGGGGTAGAGACAAAGAAAATTCAGCTATCGTCAACGACTTGAATCGATTTTGCAAAATGTGCAGCAGTGCATCGACGCACCAAAGTTCACCTACTGCTTGCGTAGGAAAAAATTGCAATTACCTATGATTACTTAACAAAGAGTGGGCAAAAATGTAGTACCAAATACACACACAATGCAAATGCCTGCGGAAATAATTAGTTCATTGCTTAGTGGCTCTCACCTTTTATAGCAGTAGTTCGCCGAGTATTCGAGTATTTGTTCTAATAGTTATATATATATATATATGTATACCGTTTTTCAGTACGCTTTAAGAATTACACTTTTACTACAATTTTTAATCTATTTCGAATACTTTTTCAGCAGCCTGCTATCGCTATATGAATCCGCCACGCTTGTTGTATGAAAGATCGAGAATATATTAGGGGTGGGAAATAAAACAATATTTATAGGTAATAATACTGTCATAGTAACGAGTCATTTATCTGCAGATGCAGCCCTGCTAAAAACGCGCAGTCTGGCAGCCCCATGAGCTTTTAACGGTACGGTCACACTTCTTACAACAGCTGTCTATTGCGACCTGGTTATTTAACTCGGACGAAGTAAACAGCCAATTAAAAACTAAAGTCTAAATAAAAATCAAAATGAGACATGCTCAATTTTTGGCACGCACAGTGTTCGTGCATAACAACAACGTGGAGGAGGCGTGCCGGTTGCTAAACCGCATTCTCGGCAAGGAGGAAATCTTTGATCAATTTCGGCGCACGCGTTTCTACGAGAAGCCCTACCAGGTGCGTACACAATCAATGTGAAGTTTTTAAACATTTGCTAACATTTTCCATTTTACAGGTGCGCCGTCGTGTAAATTTTGAAAAGTGCAAAGCCATCTACAACGAGGACATGAATCGGAAAATTCAATTTGTGCTGCGGAAAAATCGGGTGGATCCCTTTCCGGGCTGCAGTTAAATGTTATCGATTATCAATTTTGTGCATTTGTTTATAAATGATAATAAAACATAGTTAAGAAACGAGCGCTCGATAAACATTTGTAAGCACATTTATCGGAGACTCAAGCTTTCAACTGAGCTTTTGTCCTTGCAGCGTACGGATTTTAACCCACTGGCTTTAGAGGGTTATAACGCTTTAGCGGCAAGAGCGAGCTTTCAATTTTTTGGCCAAACAATATGCAAGTAGCTCTCGGGTCAGAGTCTTGTCTGCTTTCGTGCGGTTAGGACGCGTTTTATAGAATTATACGGTACTAAGGTAAAAGTGTAAAACTAAGCTGTAAATTTTCTACATTTTGCGCTGTGAAAACATATTGTTATGTTAAAATGTTATTTATGTTGTAAGAAAATATAGCACTCTTTTAAGCGTTGCCTTATCGTTTTTTTTCGCAACGCCTTTGTACATGTACATGTACTTAGTGCATGTGTGTGTGTGTGTGTACATGTATGTACGTATATGTGCATGCTTGTGCTGCATTTGTAACATAATTTTGGCAGTGGTATCATTTTTGCTGCCCTACTATAAAACCAAGTGGTTTCTAAGGCTCGAACGTGCTTAAGTGCTCCCGAATGCATCGATAATACGCTTTTGCGGCCAATCCACTAAATTAACTGCGTAAGAGTGTGAGTCTGTTTGTGTGTGTGTGTGTGTGTATGTGTGTGTGTGTGTGATTGTGGGTGGTTGGGTGGTTTAGTTGCGGACCACAGCATAAAGTTCACTTTACATCAAAGTTGGCGTGTTTCGCTTTTTCAAGCCTTGTCGCCCCCATTGACAAGCCCCAAGCTTGTTGTTGCGGCCCCTTGTTGTTATACCCTTGCAAAGGGCATACTTATTTTGTCACACTTTATAAAGTATACATATTATATACATGTATGTATAAGTAAGCCAAGTCGATATAGCCTCTGTCGGCATGTGACTTTCTATGTAAACTAGAATTTCAATTACCGTGATTAAAGTTGGCTTACATATGTATATATTTTTGTTGTGGTTAGGATATTGTATATATTCGGATATAGCTGATATTGGAATTATAAGCAAAAAGCGCCGTTAACCAAACATAAGAAATATGAGCTGTATGCATTTAATCACAACTTCTATATCATTGGAATTATCTTTTTAAATCTAGACCAAACTTGGCACTTACTAGCTTTACTTTACTGCTTTATTCTAAACGTCTTGATATAGAAGCTGCCATTGGAACTATCTGCTTAACTCTTGACCAAACTTGAAATTCTCTTTGCTTCGCTTTTCTGCTTTTATCCATATTGGGGTACTAATGTATAGCTCTTATATCGATCACTCGACAATTGTATCTGGCTGTGCCTGATATATGTATGCCAGCAAGGGTATTTAATATTCGGCATTAAAAAAATAACTGTTATTTCTTGTAATTTTTTGTTGTTTGGTTTAGCTTTGGTTTCGCCGTTTTTACTGCCGCTGTTTTATCGATTTCTTGTGTTATTTTTAGCATTATTTATTTGCATTTTTGTGCGTGTATTTGTGCTCTGCTCTCTTTTCGGCACACACACACACACACACACACACACACACAGGCAGAGACACACTTTGCACATATGTATGTATATGTAATCAAATTTTTGGCAGCTAATAAAATGGATTACGTCGAATGTAATTTTCAGCTCGCGCTTACGTTATGCTCGGCAATAGATTCGTGGCGGCCGTCTTGGTGGTCAGCTGCAGCCTAGCTCAGGCCTATCCAGCGCTCTTGCCATATATCTACAGTAAGTAGGCTACAAGTATCTACATATATAATATACAAATATATATCTGTATGCTTAGCTCCTTCGAAGCGCGGCGATGCAGCCTTTCCGCTGATCGAGGACGATGTGGTCGAGCTGGATCAGCTGCGGCAGGAGCCTCAGCCTGTCGTGGGCAAGCGGCAGCATGATGGCAGCACGGTGCGCACAACAACCACCACAAAGGAGAGCATTGAGAAGGTGATTGCCCCTCCGGAGGCGGGCAGCAAGGATCATAGCTTGCATCTGATGCCCGACCTGGAGCGACAACTGGAGGTGGCCACGCCGTTGATGTCAATGTCGACCACAACCACCACAAGCACATCGGCCACCACGACTACGGCGGCCTTCAAGGATGACGGCGAGCGTTCACAGCTAGAGGAGCCGAAAACGGCTGGAAAGCCAGCGACCGAGCCGGGCGCACATGCCAAGGTAAAAGCCCATGCCCATGCTTAAGTCCTCTCCCATTTGCCAATTTATGTATGTATGTATGTCCATTCTTGTGCCTTGTAAATGCCAATATGTGTCTTTTGAAAATCCAAGTGTATATCCACGAAACCACCCAAAAATCAACAGGCTTTCTACGGTGCAGCGCGTCTAGCGTTTGGCCAAAATCCCGAGGTGTTGCCCACATCTCCCACGTCCACAACAACGTCCACGTCTACGTCTACGTCCACGTCCACGCCCACTTCCACTTCCACTTCGACAAGCACAAGCCCAACAACAACAACTGCAACGCCAGCTTTCGGAGCAGAAGCGGCATCAGTCGAACGCGATGCCCAACCTGTCGAGGATTTGGCTGGCGAGCCAGCCGAGAATGCCGCAGAGACAGAGGCAACAGCGGCCACGGCTGATAAATTGCCTGGGTCTCAGCATAATCACGATGTCAACAAGGAGACCATTGGCGACATATTGATCGATCAGCTAGAGACGGTGGCCAAGACCACCGAACGGCGCTCCGGCATGCCCCATATGACGGCCAAGGTTCTTATGACTACTCAACTAATCCATACAGATCGGCAACGAATTGGCTAACCCAACTAAATTCATGTGTCTATTCAAAACAACCCGCACTTTTGTGTACACCTCTTTAACTACTTTGAATATTCCCTGACACGGCTTCTTCTTCTTTCTTTCTCTCCCTCTCTCTCTCTCTCTTTCTTAGACCGCTCAGAGTCTGTTGCGCAATCCGAATGGCCAATACTCCTCCTTCGATATGGCCCAATATGTCTTCTGGACTGGCGATGAGACGGGCGTTGCCAGGGCAGTCGAGGAATTTATCAATGAGAATTTGGTAGGTTTTAACACTCTTTGTATCTATAATATCTATAAGTCCGGCAAGCAAACCAATGTCTGGACTTCCACATTAATTTTCACACTAATTATCTTACCCATTTTAAAACAAGACAACTCCCTGTTAAATAATAGATATACTATCGAGAATAGGTTAAAATATTGATTTTGTGTAAATCTAAATAAAAGACAGAAGGACTGTAATCACAATAGGAGCTGGAGATATGCTAGAGAAATGAGAGGCTGTTCGAGTTGAGTTTAAATTATCGATAGCTCAACTCGTTTGCATAAAATCGATAAGAATCGATATATAAGCATATACCGGAGCTTATAAGAGCTGGAGACACCAAAGCTGATATGTTCACACTCGTATAGTGTACACAGATTAAAAATAGTTCACTTCCTGGGTAACTTACCCCGTTACCCATAAAATTGTATTACGTATTTTTACAGGCATTGTCTGGGGATTCAATATGTGCTAGAGAAATTTGAGGCAGTTCGAGTTGTGTTTAAATTATCGATAGCTCGACCCGTTTGCATGAAATCAATAAGAATCGATATCGAAATCCTGCTTTATTAGCATATCCCGGAGCTTATAGTATACACAGATCCAGAACAGTTTACTTCCTGGGTAACTCACCCCGTTACCCAAAAAATTTTAAAACTATAATATTTACAGATATTTGAATGGTATATGTAAATATGCCCTGAAATGGCATAAGGATCGAACAATAAACACGTTAGTTAATCAGGAAAGCATTATCCGTAGTGCGGGGCTAAGGGAATAAGAAGCACAGCCAGTGCGTGTGTGTGTGTGTGTGTGTGTGTGTGTGTGTGTGTGTGCGTGTTTTTGTGTTTGGAAGGAAGCTAGAATATTTTGGAAGGCAGCTATATATCAGGCTATATATCTTATATAGTATCATATATTTATATCCAAAGCTTATCTATATAATCTTTGCACCTTTTGCAGATTACCAGGGAGAGCGCTCTGAAGTTTTTGCGTGATATACGTCTGGGAATTGAGTTCTTGCAGCGCTCCTATGCCAATCGCATTTTTCCCGAGGAGCTGCGTCAGAATCATTTGAAGCGCAATAGCTTGCCCAGCAGTACAACCACATCGACCACAACAACCACAACTAGCACGACCACGGAGAAGCCATTCGTTCACCTGGACATCGATTCGGAGGGGGTAACACCTGAGATAGGCCGAGGCAAATCGCTGGACAGCTTCACCTTCTGGAGCAAGCTCAAGGCGCTTGAGAATGAGAGTCCTCAAGGTTAGCGGAAATTGAAAACAGTCAACATCTGAATTGATACCAAATATATTTTGCAGATCTTACGGATTATGATGATACCATGGGTCGCGCCAAAATCGTTGAGTATTTGTACAATGAGTACAGCTTAGAAGAAATACTGTATAAATTAGCCAAGGTAAGTTGCCAAACGAACTTAGCTGCCGGAACGCATAGTACATGGTAACTTTTATCCTCAAGGTAATGTTTGCCCAGTCCCTGGCACATGGTTCCGATGAGGCTCAACAGGAGTTGCAGAAGCTAACCGAGTTCCTGGAGCGTGAAGGCAATCTGGGTGTTATTCCTGTTGATTTGCAAAAGAAAGTTTTACGTGAGTTAAATGTTAATAATATTAAGAAAATGAATTTGCATTTAATCAAGACTTATGCTCCAGGTGTGCTGCTCACCGCATTGTCGGACACTCTGACCGAACATCCGGAGCTATTGCCAGCTGCGCGTGTTAACTTGGCCAATCCATTTTTCAGGCTTCCAATGCATACTCCCAGCCAATAGAGCGTTTCGATCGGAGTTTGTAAGCGTTATCAGAAAGTATATACATATATATACACTAATAATCTATATTAAATATTAACTAAGTTATTAGCAGATACACTGAACAGATCCATATACTTATTCTGTTCCAATTTGTTTAGCATAGACAGAAATGCGCTCTCTCGGAATTGGTCAAAAATCTAAATTTCTATAAAAATGAAAAAACACAATTTAATTTCGCTCTTATCAATTGTAAAATAGCAAAAAACTCTCGTGATATTTTTGGCAGGTTAGAAAGTGCGAGATAAAGCAAGATTTTTATATTCAAAATACTTATATGCAAAATGTTTGAAAGCAAGGAAAGAAACGGAGCATGTGAAAATCAAGCAAACAAAAGAGAGACTTGCGCTATTTGAAGCTATATAAAAATCGAATATATATAAATATATATGTATATGTATTTGTAGAATATTGGTATGCTTGCTTATATTTGATATGAGTTAGTTGGCAACACTTAAGAGGTTGAAGTTGATGATAATATTCTTTGTTAGTTGAGGCATCGTTTTTTGCTCCCCCTTAAATACTTAAAATGAAGCAGGAAAGGGCTTTAAGTCCGCATATATCAGTAGCAAATAGAACTGCTTATATACATACCCATATATATATATATACTTTTTTGTTCCCTATCGTAAGTCCCCAGATATATATGTACCCTATCGAAGAAATACATAGCTAACAAGTTGCTTATTGATTGAGAATTGATTAATTATTTGTTGAATTACCTTTTTTTGGCCAATTAATTTAATTGTTCAAACGTAAATCGTGTATGTGTGTATGTAGAAGAAACAAACAAAAGAATTATTGTTTCAAATATACATTCTAATAATATATATGTGCTGTATATTGTTTAAAAACAAATCAAACTCTTTTTTTATGATATACTTAATTATTATTAGTATTAGTGCTAACTTTATAGTCAGTAACTACTGTTGCTTCTTGGGCTCTGCGTCTGCGGGCCTCGAGCCATCCAGCAGCTTATTTATCTGCTCCTCTGTTAGGGGCTCGTTGCTGTCGAAGATCTTTTCAATTTCGGCACGCTCCTCCGGATCCATGTCCTTGCCATATTGCTTGGCTATGGCTTCCAGTCGCTCCTGGTTCTGCTTGAAACGCTTGGGCAGCCAAAATATCGTTTGCACCATTCTGAAAGATTTCAAATGTTCGTCTTTCAGTCCAAAAGTCTTACTACCATATATGATTGGAATTGGCTAACCTGAGGAATATATAGCCCGTTATGGCCAATAATATGCAGAGTGCAGACGTCTTCAACATGGTCCAATAGTCCACAACAACTTGCTGATGCTTCATTTTGATGTTCGATTCCAATTGAATCCTTTCACGCCAACGCAACAGTATCTATTAAATTGTCATATGTCTAATTTTCGGTCTGCTTGAGGAACAATTTTGAATGTTGTGGCCGCGTCGTCATGGATCCGTGTCAAATATGTGACATATACATATGGAATCTCTGAAAATCAATATAATAATATTCCGGTTGCATACGTGTCTCGATGATATGTGCGAAGCGTTGACCTAGACCCGCAGCAGGTGGTCTGAGGATATAAAAAATCAATAACAGGTCAATCATTGTGTTCCCGAAATAACAGCATAGATAAAAAAGGAAATATATCTCAGGATCCGTATGTTTATGTCTCGATTATGTTTTTAATAATAAAAGAGAAACAGTCTTGATATTAATTTAATTAAATATTATTGTGGATGCATATGTTTGTCTCGATTAGGTTTATGTAAAACGACCTGTGACGTGGACCCAAAGCAGACGATCTGAAGGTACAGAAATCAATAGCAGGTCATGTTCCCGAAATAGCAGAATAGATAATAATATAAAGGAATAAATCAATATATGGCTTTAATTTTAGATGAATATGTTTAGATATCGATTATGTTTATGTGAAGCGTTGACATAGATAGTAGACGGTCTGAAAGCATAGAAATCAATAGAATATTTAATTGATGTTCCCGAAAATAAAAACAGATGAAATATATATTATAAAACTTGATTTTAAGGTAATTAAACAATAATTTAGATGCATATTTTCATGGCTCGATTAGGTTTATGTGAAGCGTTGACCCAAAGAAGAGATCCATGATGATATTCCCAAAAATATTTTGCTCCAAGTCAGAACAGATAAAATAATATTGATTATTTTGAATTACAAATTATTTTGGCTGCAAACGTTTGATGATTTTGACAAAACGATTGAGATTATGGGAATAGTTGATCGGGACTCTTAGCAAAAGTATTGTAGATGCATATGTTTGGATCCCGAATATTACTTCAGAACAAATCAAATCAAAACAAGTTAGAGTGATCTAGTCATGAGTGCCCAACTAGGGTATGCCCTGAACCTCACTCAAGCAACACCAAATGCAGCTCGAGCTAAGCGCTTGATTCCTTAAGCATTATTAAAAATAGCTTATAAAAAAGTCTGTTCCCTCAGCCGGAGTCGAACTTGAACTCGGTAGCTATAAGCTGAATGATACTTGATCTGCATGTACTATTCTAGAAGCTACGTGTCAAATTTGATGACTCTAGCTCTTAAAACCCAAGAGAATTGCTCAAGAAAAGAGAATTTCGAAATCGATTTTAGTCGATAGCTTGAAAACGCGGCAAGTTATCGATTATCGGAAACAATACTACGTGAGCACTAGAATATCCTAAGTCCAAAGTTTTATAGGTTCACAGAACTTGCATTTATACGGACAGACGGACAGATCCTTGGCTAGATCTACTCTACTATCGATGCTGATTAAGAAATATATATACGTTATGGAGACGGAGATGCTCTTTTCTGCCAGTTCCATACATTTGCAGGGCTTAATGGTTTAATAGTTCTTGATTTTAATTGAATTAAATAATATTTTAAATGCAAACGTGTATCGATTATGTTTATGGGAATCGATTTATTAGACCCATAACCTGTAGGAATAGAAATCAATGCGTACACCATGATGATTTTCCCAAAAAAAATATTTCTTCAAAATAGTAAAAATAAATAAAACAATGAAAACTAACATGATTTTAATTTAACCAAAGGTTATTGCGATCGTAAGATTGCACTTATCTGGCTATTTATTTATAGTACCAGACTATAATATAAGCACGATAGAAAGAATTCTGCAAAAAAAACAATAAATAAAATATAAAAAAAAAAAATAATAATAATAATGACGATAAAGTTAGACATGTGCTGAAGTATCAGTAGGATCGGGCCATTGTAAATTAGACACAGAAGTGTCTAAAATCAAAAATAAAAACTGATTAGGGCCCAGCTGCGCATAGCGTACAATTCGCGGGGGTTAACAAAGTGCACACTTCTTTGACTCAGACCCATGCCTGGGAAGGAATACTATCAATAGATAGCACTGACTACTATCTCAGATATTCTATGGCCGATAACAGATACCCTATATAAGGCAATGGACTTCGCAGTTCATACATAGATCAAGAAGAGACCATGAGAAAGTACATCATCTGCGCGTCCATGCTGTTGGGCGTCCTGGGCCTGGCCCTGGCTGGCCAAAGACCCATCTCCGATTGCGTAAGTCTCTGGTCAGCTGTTAAAACTGTAAATTCCAGCCATAAATTGTGTGCAGGGCGAACGCATTGAGGACGATGGCTATCCCATGGAGCGGCACACGGTTGTCACCGAGGACAACTACATTTTAACCATGCATCGCATACCCTACTCCCCGAAGACGGGCTTCACTGGCCAGCGACCGGTTGCCTTCCTCATGCACGGCATGTTGAGTTCCAGCTCTGATTGGGTCCTGATGGGTCCGGGCAAGGCGCTGGCCTACATTCTATCTGATGCCGGCTACGATGTCTGGATGGGCAATGCCCGTGGCAATACGTACTCGAAGGCGCACAAATATTGGCCCACATTCTGGCAAATCTTCTGGAACTTCAGCTGGAACGAGATTGGCATCTACGATGTGCCCGCCATGATTGACTACGCTCTCGATGTGACCGGCGAGAAGCAGGTGCAATATGTTGGACACTCTCAGGGCACCACTGTCTACCTGGTCATGATGTCCGAGAAGCCCGCCTACAATGACAAAATAAAGTCCGCCCATCTGCTGGGACCTGCCGCCTATATGGGCAACATGAAGAGCCCTCTGACCCGTGCCTTTGCCCCGATATTGGGCGTGCCCAATGCCATCGTTGAGCTCTGCGGCTCCATGGAGTTCATGCCCAGCAACAAGTTCAAGCAGGATATGGGCATCGAAATGTGCCAGGCCACCTCACCCTATGCCGAGATGTGCGCCAACGAGATCTTCCTCATTGGCGGCTACGACTCCGAGCAACTGGACTATGTAAGTGATGCATCACCTCCAATAACTAGATGAATGCCTATAAATGCTAGTGTTTGATTTTCTGTAGGATCTGCTGGAGCATATTAAGGCTACTTCGCCGGCCGGCGCCTCGGTTAATCAGAATCTGCACTACTGCCAGGAGCACAACTCCGGCAAGTTCCGCAAGTTCGACTATTCCGTCATTCGCAATCCCTACGAGTACGGCAGCTACTATCCCCCCGAGTACAAGCTAAAGAACGCCAAGGCTCCTGTCCTGCTCTACTATGGTGCCAACGACTGGATGTGCGATCTGAGCGATGTCCGGAAACTGCGCGATAGCCTGCCCAACATGGCACTCGACTATCTGGTGCCGTTCGAGAAATGGGCACATTTGGATTTCATTTGGGGCACCGAGGCCAAGAAATACGTTTACGATGAGATCCTCAGCCAGATGTCCAACTACGAATGAGCTCTTTATTTATTTTGGACCTGCACAATAAATTCGAGCAACAACTGAGCATATTTTACTCCACTTGAAATTCCGCCAGATACTCTAGCTTGAGCTCCTCGTCCTTGACCAGTTGGCCAACAACGCGATAGTCGCCAGCTTGCAGAAATTTTCCCAATTGCGAGGAATTTATAGGGTAATCCTTGAGATGAAACTTTTGCGGCGCCAGGGGACAGTCGTCGGGATGGGGCGCATTCGAGTAGTCCTTCAGCTTCTCATAGAAGAAGTCCTTATAATAGGTGCTCATCAGATCGCAAGACCCAATGACAGGCAAGTCCATAAATGTGCCATACTTATCGTCTTCGCTTGCCTTTCGATAAAGCGTAATATTCACCTACGATAACAATAGTTAATTGTGTTTTAAGACATATAATATACCTATATAGGAATGTTTGATTCGACCGACTGACGTAAGAGATAGGAAGAAATTTGTACTCTAGCTACCCTGTGTGATTAATGTGCAGCTAAGACGGAGTGTTTGAAGAATTCCACCCGCAAGTATGGAAAATTGGGGAAAATTTCGCATAAATATATTTTTATTACCATTCTATTAAGCAAACAAACTAACTTTCAAAGGATCTTTTCATTTAAGACGTGTTTCACGCTCTTTTTCAAAAATCACAACTCCTTGATGGAAATAACTGAGCAATGAGTGAGTTAGTATGTTTCACGCTTTTCGCAAATTCCACGCCAATGTAATATAAAGAGTGGGCGTCCGGTTGTATGGGCGAAATTTCGGCCCATTTGCAAAGATCTTTGTGAAAATTCATTTGAAACGCGATTTACACTTTTTGGGAAATTCATGTTCCTGTATGGAAAATGGACATCAAAGGTACTGTTGCAGTGTTTCAAATTTTATCCGATCGCCTTCAAACGTATTTTCAAAATTCTAGATAAGGACTCGATTTATATGTTTTTTCCGATTTTTATTCCACTCGCAACTGTGGAAAATTGGCGGGAAACGATATCATTTTCAAAGATATCAGTGAAAGATCATCTTTTCACGTGGATGGAAAGTGCAGGTCAAAGTTTGCATGAACGAATGTTTGTTTTTCGTCTGCAGGCTTCGCACAACCGGGCAAAATTGGGCGAAAAATGTTGATTCCAACTTTTGGTACTGAATGGGATTCAATAATTTATGTAAAAGGTAGGAGTAGATTTAAATGTTCCACGTGCAGCAAATTGGTGGAAAATAATTTTTGAAATTCGAGAAAAGAAACGTGGACCAGGCAAAATAATGGTTATTATGCAGAAGTTCACTTTTGTTTTGTGTCCACAATAAATCGGGAAATTCCTCCGGCAAGTGTGAATAATTGTCGGAGAGCATTTAATTTTATCACATTCAATAATTTCCATATATGCGAAAATTTATTTTTAGACTTGTTTTAAGCTTTTTGAGAAATACTTTAATAAATAAATAAACAGGACATTAAAAAATATGTACGATTTTAATAAAATTTTGATCATTGCGCAGAATTGTTGATCAAAACATTTTCATTTTCATCCGATTTCCCAGATCGGTGTAAAAATGTATATCAAGAAGAAAAATTAAAGTTTCCAATCAATCGGTTTCCAGATCGATTTTTAAAAATGTAATCACACATTCGGAAAATATGTTCAACATTTTTTGGATTCGATTTTTATATATTAAATCCAAAGATGTATGGATAATCTAATTTCAAACGGATAAAATACAATTTAGGGCAATGTGGTCAAGTTTTTCCACTCGTTTTTCGCTTATAGAAAAAGGATCCGGGCAAAGCCGGCTAAAGCCGCCTCTTATAAATATATTTGACTTACCTTCCAATCGTTATCGAGGGTCACTTGGGTTGCTATCTCGCCACTTAGCTTAATGTGGCCCTCATCATCGGGTTCCCCGAGCTCCACGCTGCTTTGGAAAGAGTTTTCGTCCTCGTGAACCTTTTTAAATTTGCGCAGCTTGACAATGCGATTGCTTTCAGCACGAACCAGGACAAAGCTGGTGAGGAGCAGAAGGCCCAGATGCACAGAATACGCCGACATTGCAATGGAAAATGATTTGGCAATCGCTTAGCTCATTGGGTTTATATGTGATAAATGCACGAATATTGCGCATTCGCCACGTTAGCCGATGTTATCCAAACAGGAAACGGAAGCTGGGACATGTTTTTGTGGTGTTAAAACTAGAAACATTTTTTTTAAATTAATCTGTTGCGGAGTATTTTCCACACAGGCAAAACAACTTTTAATTTTGTTCATAATACGATCAAAATTTAGATAACCCCTCACATTTAAAAAATATGAGATATGTGAATTTTAGTAAAATCGCCACAGCAGCAAATTTTTAAATTAGCATTGTCTAAAACTACGTCGTGCTCGCTTCACATTGTTGGACGAGTTGCAGCTGGAATGTTAGCACTACTGACTGGACGTATTGTGCTTTTCTTCTCGTAGCCAAAATTTAATCGCAGCTGCTCTAGGAACATAAATGTCAGTATCGTTTGCGGCCCAAGTCGCACAAATGCCGGCACATAGCCCTTGAAGAAGCCAAGTGGGCCCAATTTGGCGGTGTGGAGCACAATATCCCATAGGCCCTTGTACTCGCCCGGCTTGGCGTTCATCGAACGCGTCTTCAGCACATCCATGGGCTGTGTTAGCGTTGTGGCAATTGTGCCAGCCATCAGTGAGGCCGTGAAGTGTGTGATCAGATTGTCGTGGAAATAGGGCGTCGCCAGCAGAGATGACTTAATCTGATCATAAAATGCAATCTGGCCGATGGTCATGAAAATGCCGCGAAGCGTTGCTGTGCTGCCGCCAGCGAAAAGTTTCCTAAAGCCTTCCGTTCGGTACACCTTAACAATGCCATCCGATCCGCAGCGGTAGCTGTTGGCACACAGAAAGAATTATAAGATTGTAGCAAGACAGGATCTTTGTTATCTCTTACTTTCTTCGCAGCTCCGGGGGCAGCTTGACATCGTTTTGCATGCGCACGTTTATCATATCGGCGGGAGTGCCAAAGATACCACCAATCATACCGGATAGTCCGGCCAATGCTATTTTGCCGCCAAACGTGTCCGTGTTGATATAATCTTTGCCCAACTCGTATGCGCCAAATCTCGTCGTTGAATAGGTAAGCTGGCGTAATATCGAGGCGGATAGACCATTGTAGAATGCCAGCACGCCCTGCTCCCGTATGACTTTTTGCACCAGCTTTATTATAGACAATTTGCCCTGTTGTGTTTGTAGTGTAACCTTCAGCAAGTCCAAAGGATGTGTTGTACATGCCGCGCCGACGCTGGCAATGCCACCGAAGTACCAACGTGCGTGTTTCTCGGCGGTGGTCATTTTGTGAAGCTTATTGACCCGACTGTAAACCAAAAGATAAAATATAAGCAACCATAATCGTTTTGTTAATTTTTTTGTAGAAATGTCGCACAATTTTTCTATACTCCGGTTATCAAAAAATGATACTTCTTCATTTAAATAATCCGTTCGCGCAACATTTTTGCACGATGCAGTGGCCGAAAGGTTACATCATCGTGGTTACGCCTGAATTTATGAAAAGCTAAGGATAATAAAAGTTAACAACAGCTGAGCCATGACGTTGACGACTAGCAGCACAGCTTGCGTTGTTACCCGCGCCTTTGATAACAGGCACTGCTCAACACTGCTGTAAGCCTTGCCACATCAACTAGAAACGTAAGATGACTAGTCACAATAGCCGCTGCCAAGTGGCAGCACTGCTCGCACAGCTGACTGCCAAATGTAGCCATTCAGAGTTCGTTTGTGTTCGCTAGTTGTTTTGTGTAAAATTACAAAGTATTTTTGTCGAAAGCCGCCAGGAAATCCATAACACTGAGCGGTGGTAGTATATGTGTCATTCAATTTGTGAGTACATTGCATAAATATTTATTTATTTATTTATTTACTGTTTACTTGTTAAGCACTTAGCGTGCATTAGGACGCGTCAGCCTCTGCTATAAAGTTGCCGAGCAATTTGTTAATTTTGCATGCGTCTCATGTTACTGCGAGCGGCTGCATTATGTGCGGCTTTTTATTTCGGCATTGACATTGAGCTACACGTGGTCGAAGCCAACCAAAATACACACATATGCATATGTATGTATGTATGCATATTTGTTTGTTTTTATTTCGACTTAGAGAGTTGCGTGATTTCATTTTTTGTATTTTTATGATAAGCAATTTGCACACCTGGATTTTAGGTGAGAACAATGTATTTGTGTGTGAACGTGAATATTCATTCGAGATTTTGTTTAGATGCATATGTACTTTTTTTTAATCATATCCGTTTTTGCACACATAGACATGCCACCCTATTGATGTAAGTACAGTGGTCGCTCGCAAATAAGAACCTTTCGGTTCTGACTATAATTTGTGAATATTTTCTTGCACTTCTTGATTTCTGTGCAAAATATTAAAATAAATGCTTGCAGCAAAATATCTAAATATTAATATTTATACGGAACCGTTTCTAAGGGCTTGCCAGATCTGATAAATTAATAGTATTATATTAATTTATTTACTTATAGCATATTTGTGATGTTTTATATTTGATGATTCGATTTTATTAAGTTGGAAAATTCAAATTAAAAAAATTTAATTAATTAATTAAATGATTTATATGTGCCAAATGCTTGGAGATTAACACATTCTAGTTTTAAAGCCAGTTTAAAAACAAAAAATTCACATTTTAAGTGTTAAAAGTGTCGATTCCAATCACGAGTCAATACTAAATTCTGTAAATTCTAATTTGCGAGAGACTACTGTATCCAATTTTATTGGATTTCGATTCACTTGCGTGTTCTGTTATCGTAGACCCAATTGGAAATTCTAATTTTTTCGACTCAGAACCTTCTTTGATGTAGTATTAAAGTAGTTACATATTTAGTTTATTAGCTGCCTTTTATCTCTAGACAACCTATTAGCTAACATTATTTTGTGTTTAGTCATAAAACAAAATGTGACCCTATGTGCCGGTTCGGGCTTGAGCTAATCGACTTTCAATTTGTTGCCCGCTTGCCTAGTGATAACAAATTTCATAAAAGCAAATCGCAAAAAAATATGTAGCTATAATTCGTGTTTCTGATGTTGTCGTTTATTTAATATAAAGACATTTCGTGTGAACCACGCCACGTGCACCAATTGGTCTATAAATCACACGATGTCTCTGCTGTTTGGCCCAAATACTAATGGATTTTGGTTAAAACAATATATTTTATCTCTTGTTTCGAATATGCTTCTGATAACCGGGGCTTATATGGTTAGAAATTAAAAAATTATCTTTTTTACAAATGCCCGAAAGCTGTTGCAAATAAATATTTTTTAGAAAATTGTTTGCTTATTACAAGTAAATATTTTTTTGAGAATTTACAACATGCAACAGATAACAGTTTTAGGGTATTGATAAGTCGATAGAAACAAGAACCAACTTTTATTCGCTTAATTTTGCTTGTTTTTTGTTTTTATCGGACCATATAACTGAATGTTCCATGAGCAAAGGTCAAGTAATTAAAACGTATCTAAAAAACAGCAAATATCACATGATCCAATAAGAAAAACATGCTTATAGATTTATATAAAGTGCTAAAGCTGCCGCGCCCCCACTAGAAAATACTCATGTACATATGTATGTATGTGCGTACATGCATATATGTCTACTGCTATGGAACAGCTGATTATCACATTTTTCCGTAGCCGTAGATCACGAAACGTTGCGTGATAGTTCCATTATTTCTCTCACTGTTGCTATCAAAATGATGTCTGTATAAATATTGGTAAGTCATGTTTGCCGCGCACACAAGCTTAATTTAATTACATACATGCATATATGCAGGTGTGTACATATATGTATGTGTGTAAATTGTAATTTACTGTAAATCACGGCAATTGCTGCATTTGATATCGAATTGACGATTCACCCAATTGAAAGTTTTCCTTGAAATTGAGAAATAAATGTTGTGGCGCGTGTTGTTTACCGTTATAAAATGTTTTAACAAGTTCTATATTTTTGGCAACACCGATATACACACACACACACACACACAAAAGCACACACACGAACAGACACCACGCGCGAGAGCAAGAACTTCAGCGCTTCATTACCACAATTGACGGCGAAAAACTGGTCTGGATAATATGAATCGTTCTTTGCCCAGCTTTTCCTACTCTCTCGTCTGCTGGAGGCGCGCACCACACGACGTCGTCGTCGCTTGAGCACTGAATACGTACTGATCGTAGCTGTCAGCAGTGTGTGGACTGAACGTCAGACAAAGCTTCGGCCAGCGTTAGCCGGCGTCGGCGGTCCAAAACTATGCCACTCTCTCTTTTTCTCTCTATCTCTGTCTCAGTCGTTAAATTGTTTGGCTTTGGATTTGTTTTATCGCCGTTTAAGTGACAGCGCGGTCAAGGCGGGCACTTTGGAAATGTTTCCAGAAGTGTGGCGGGTTCGGCTTAAGTTAGTCAGTTGTCAGACGCTCCGGCAGCCACAATCAAATTCAAATCCACCCAGCTATAGGGTGAGAGCGTAAGAATTGGGAGAGCGAAAGAGAGTGCTGCGTGCGTTAAACATAAATTGGTGAGAGCTTTTTTATTTATTTATTTTTTTGTCATAACCTTCGCTTGCTCGCACTTTGTTAGTTTGTGTGTATGTGTGAGTTTCCATCCACAATTGTACAGTGATACAGTAAATGTTAGTGTACATTATATGCAATGTAAGCGCAGTGAACGGTAGAATTTGCTCTACGCCCGACAAAGTTTGCCTACATTTTGTGTAAACAGTAGTTTCATACATTTGTATACATTCGTTTGTATGTGTGTTAAAAGTTTTCATGTCGTCGTCCAAATCGTTCATCGGCTGACCGCTCATTATCGCTCCTAAGTTTTTTTGTTTCTAATACCCTGTGTCTGAATGTAATCAAATCGGTATGAATATTGTATGTACGGTAGCTGCAAATTAAAACTAATAGAAATTAGAATAAATGGATAAAATTGGTCTTGTTTTTATTTTTAAAAATAATAATAGATGCGCATTGAAACAGATGAGCATTAGTATAACAGGTGTGTTCGTTTTCAATAGTTCATCTGAGGATGAAATGGAGGTCAACTTTATTTCGTATTTTGTATTTTGTGTTTCGTAATACCAGAAAGCAATTAAAATGATGCTAATTTGTTTAGTATATATTAACACATATAGAGGAGCGGAAGCAACCAGATCTCACATATGTGTGCTTATATACTTTCTATATATTAACAAATTTTAGTACTACCTTATGCACACGCGAATTAAGTAACGCCACCATGCCTGCAGGGTATTCCTAAGTCGCGCATCATCCTTATTTTTTGCTGGGCTTATTGAAATTATGTATTTGAAATGCCCTTTATGTAAGAAATAAAATATCAACGTCGATCGGCCATGTGGAGGCCAAGAATAAACACAAAATATTATTGATCAGCTGTTAGGCGCCACTATAAATATATATATATATATATATATGTACATGAACAATTCATTTCAATTTAATGCGTTCATAGCTTTTACTAATTATGCTTGTAATTTAAACGGCATATTTCCATTAAGCAGCAATTCGTATTGTGAGTCAAGGTTCAGTTAGAACGTTTATTTGCAATTAATTTGCAGCACAAAATACACAAAAGTTTTCAGCGTTTCGAGCTCGATAAACAAGCAAGCGATTGCATTGGGCACAACGTGTTGCCAAGGCAGAGATTGGAAATGGGAAATATCAGTCTAGATAATTCGAAAAGCAAATGCAATATTTTTTTAAAACGATTTTATTATTTGCATGCTGAAAAAATGGCGGAAACACGTTTTAACAGCTTTTTAGCTGTTCTATTCAAATATTTTATTTACCGAATTAAAGTTTGCTCAAAATATTTACGCATGCATTAAAGGCAGACAAAACGCGTGCAAGCTTTAGCAAAAGCTTTTATTCAACGGTGCTTTAGAGTGGTTCACAGTATAACTGGGCTTTTGGCGGCGCATCGTTCAATGGCCCATTAGCTCAGTTGGTTAGAGCGTCGTGCTAATAACGCGAAGGTCGCGGGTTCGATCCCCTCATGGGCCAAGACACTTTTTTATTTTTCTTTATTTTTTTTGTAATTTTATATTCATTTTTCTCTTATATCAACATTTAATAAATTACTTGGAGTGCTTTATTTTCATTGATTGCCGGGTTATTGGCTACGTGTGCTGCTGACAGCCATGATGAAGTGACAAAATGAAAATGTTTGCCCGAGTAAATAAATTAAAAAGAAAGTCTGAAAGTCGCCGCCGCCGCCGCCGCTGGTCAAATTGTGTAGCCCCAAACATGGGGCACGTGGCACGTGACCCGTCGCCAAATATGACCCTGCTAATTAATTGAATACATTTTATGCCATTTACAAATTGTCCAAACATATTCACTTGAGTTGTTCTTTTGTTGTTTTGCAATTACAGCTCCAAACAACGCACGATTTGTCTGAATTATGGCTGCCTCAGTGCTGCTCGCGTGCGGGTTGAATGAACAGAAGTTGCCCGGTTTCGTGCACATCAGCGAGGAGTCCAACGTGGATGGCAGCTTCCTGATTAGCTGCATATTGGGCCAACGCTTGCGCATCTCTAACGCGGGCACGCTGCTCGTCTGTCTGCAGCATCATTATCAGCATTATTTCAATGCGGGCATGCGGCTCGGCTACAATACGAATATCTTTCTGGACAAGACGCTCAATGTCATCGATGTGCTCAGCGATATGGCGCGACACGGCCTCAGCTCCAAGTGGCTGCGCTCCCCGGATGGTCTAACGCTTACCGAGCAGCTGGTGAAGGATATACGCAACCAACTGGCCAACAACTTTCCCAATCGCAGCAGCTACACCATATTGATTGACAATCTGTCAATATTATTCAATTTGGGCGCCAGTAAGCAGCAGGTGCAACAGTTCTGCCTGGATCTGGCCGACCTGGCCAAGGAGCATGAGAATCTGACGGTCATCACCAAGCTGAGCAACAGCGACATTCATCAGCTGACGGACAATAATGTGGCCAAATTGGGACATGTGCGCATCCAGGTGCTGCGGCTCAAGAGCGGCGTCTTCCGCGAGGTCGATGGCAGGCTACTAATTGAGCGTGTCCTGGACGAGGGAAGCTATGCGTGCGAGCAGTCCCGCAAGGAGGTGCTCTACAAGGTCAACGATCGCAATGTCAAGATCTTCAATCCAGGCGAAATCGGCGTCAAAGTTTAAGTTAAAATTCGCATTGCTACACTTTTGTATGGAATTTATTAAAGCCATTTTGATATACCTAAACCCATCGTCTTGGTGTACTTGTGAAATCTGTTGCTCCTTGCACACGATCCTTGTCCGTTTGGCTTGTCAACGTCTATCGAATGTCATGTGCCAATAACATCTGCTGTTTGTTATTTTCTCGTACATTCTAATTGCGTTGTCTTCTTTGCTTTGGCATCTGTTGACGTCACGCCAGCTGGAGTCCAGCACCAATGACGGACGCATAATGATGAATTCATGTCTGGTCATGACTTTACGGCGCTTCGGCAATGTAAACCAAGGCGGAGCTCAAATATCCTGTGGACGCAGCGGTCACCAAAGATAAGGGACAATGTTAAAACTTAGGCGAAAGAGAAACAAGTGAAAGCGTTGCAAACGGACGCCAACGACTGCGCAATACTCTGTTCTCAGTAATAAGAGTTTTCGGAGTGACAACAAAACTGTAAATCGAAGAGGGTGGTTCTCAAACTGTGACTTTGGGAGGTTTTTTTTTCAGTTTTTTTGTAATTCGGACGTGATCATTTGTGTGAAAGTCAAGTTGTCGAAAAGAACATAGACAAACGTACTTAACAGCTAATATACTCTGTTCCGCTTTGTAACCAGTGTATCGAAAGCAAACAGAATATTGAATTTAAGCAAAACGCCCCCACAAACTGATGAAGTTGTGTCTGCTCTGTGAATAACGATAATTTTCAATATTCACAGCATCAGCATTTTTACGCAGTCGAAACTTTTTTGTAATTCAAACCTTTTTCAACGTCTTAAATGATCCATGCATAAAGTGCTTCGTTTTGTATTTTTTAACATTTTTAATTCGGACCATTTTTTGTTTTTACCGCTAACAGCTAACGAAGTTTCTGGCAATGTCGCCCTGTCAGTGATAGGCAAGGCAAGCAAGCTGGATCTGGCAACTCTGGAAACGCCTTAATTAATTGCATAGATGGTTGGCTTTTGCGCAACCGTTCGCTAAGTGTTTAAATTGAAAGTCAAAGGACACGTAAACCGCAAACTATTTGTGCGTGATCAAAAAGGATGCTTAAAGTGAGAATATTTTCCCCTTTTAAAAGGAAACGTGGACTGCTAACCAAACGGAAGATGGACTAATACATACATATATATATATATATGTATATATGTGTGTGTCTCTCAGCAACTTCAAAAGCCAATAACAACTTTTGTTTATGTAATGGTAATAAACTCCTGCTCGCAGATAAAGCACAAGAAAATATCCCTTTGATTAGGCCAAAAAATTGGGCCCAACAGTAGCCGGCAGGCTTAGCAATTTGTGTGGGCTGGCTAGCCAAGTTAATGACAGCGTTGTGGACAATTTAATGTGCGTGCGGCCAATTTCGTTGCATACATCGAGCTGAAAAATATTTACGCCCAATCACATGCACCACACAAACACACACACACACACACACACACACTCATACAGACTGTGACAATGGCATCATCATGCAGAAAAAAAACGAGCCATAATTTATTTTCAGCTATGGGCTCGAAAAATGTGCGCTGGCCCCCATAAGACCGACTCGCCTGGCTACCCTTTCATCACTGATAATAACGGCATATTAGTATGGACCAGGCTGAATAGATTTTGCTGCGCAGCTCTTAAAAAAATGCACACACACATAGACAGCAGCCTTTTTTTTAAAGATTTTATTCCGCTGCCTGCCAGTTGATAGTCTCCTCCCACTCCATCGCATCTGTCGATTTATATCGCCATTGTGTCGCCCTTGTTTGGCGCACATACTCATAATTTCTCTGCGGGCGCAGCAACATGGCGTATGCGTAATATTTATTTAACTGCCGCGATTTGCGCTTTAAAGTCTGTTCAGCTAAAAGGTTTTTGCATTAGCTCCTTACAGCCAGCGTTTATTTATTTGATTTGCCGCTCGAAGTGCTGCAGCTTAAAAGGATTTCAAATTATATTAAAGTAATGAAAACAACACGAAGGACTAGAAGAGTTGGCG